ACGACAGTTGTCAAACCTTAGTTTTTTGTTTTACATGTAAAATCCACATCCAAACCTCCAATGAAACACGAGTAACATTAACACTATTGTTTTCTAATCTTTTAATTAAGATGCAGCTATTTTTGTAGCCCGTCACATCACCCTGTTGGGATCAGAATTAGAATTAAGTACTGTTGCCACATTTTTTGCCAAATAACTATAAAGCCAGGTTTTTCCCATGTTGAATTCACTTAATGGATTTAGAATTCAAGGGCAACACCTCATATTTCTGAGTATTCAATGCAAGGGTTTTTCACCCTGTTGAGATTTTTGAATTGTTACTCATTATACTACCAGTCTTTTCTGGATTTACATCACCTGAAAATTTGATAATAAAGTGCATGACTGATATAAGCCATCAAAGGTCTCTCCAAGTTGACTGATTCATTTAAACAGCGGTGATAGCTGTGGTTCTCAAAACTTTTTTTATGCATCAGAATTGCCTGGTGGGCTTATTAAAACTGATTGTTGAGGTCATTTCTGATTTCCTTCTGTGAATTTGCATTTCTAACAAGTTCCCAGGTAACGTGATGACCAACTTTGAGAAGCACTGCTTTATGGGTACAATTAATTATTCAACAAGCTACCATCACACAGCCCATGGGATTCCTCACAAACCATGTAATAGGTTTGGCTTGACCTAGTCTTATGTTGCATTTCTAACACCCAGAGATATATTTTGTCCCGGTATACAAATTGATTAAATTACATTATGGGCTCAGTGGCTCAGCCTGTACTCCCGCGCCCTTGGGAGGCTGAGGTGAGTGGATTGCCTGAGCCCGCGGGTTCGAGACCCCCCTGGGCAGCGAGACCTTATCTCTACAATAAATTAAAAAAAATCAGCCGGACGTGGTAGCGCATGCCTGTAATTCCGGCTACTTGGAAGGCTGAGGCGGAAGGATACCCGGAGCCCAGCAGGTCGAGGCTGCGGTGGCCGGGAGCGGCCACTGCACTCTAGTCTGGGCGACAGAGTGAGACTCCAACTCAAAAAAAAAAAAAAAAAATTACACTATGGTTCCACTACCATAATTTTTAAGCTTTCAATGAGAAAGAATGGAAAAGAAAACCTAAACTCTGGCCAATCTAGTAGCTCCCGTGTTGCTTCAAATAAATGATTAAATGTTGACACTGTCAGAGATGAAATAAATTCTCCCATAATGATGTTGTTGTTTTCAAAATCTAAGTTCATACAGATCCCAGTTTATTATAAAGGAAACATTCTGCTCTTCCACTGGACAATTTGTTGGCAATACACACTGAATTACAGCTCCTAAATCAGGAGTTTGACTTGGTAAAAAATTTAATGAATAGAAATTTCAAATGCCTTCTGGTGTTAAAAAGGATTGAAAAACACGTCCGTTTCCCCTATCATTAAGAGTCCACCTAAGGGGTGAGATTTGGCAGATTGTGGTACACAAGACAAAGCTGTGGTCTGTTAGCACTTGATAATAAATACGTACTTAAGTAAAACAGCTGTTCACTGGCCCGTTGTGCTGATCACAAAATATGCTCCAACAACGTTTTCACTTCATTTATTCCTTTTAAGACAAGTCACTTCAAACAGCATTTAGATATTTAAAATCATACACTTCATAAATAACATCAATGCATCTTAATGACAATGGCAAAATTATGTAAGAATTGTACAAAATGAAATTAGACATTTTCCAAGTAGCAGCAGTGCATTAACTTAAAAAAAAATGCTGGCAAATAGGCAAAACATTTTAAAAACCATAATACTGTCTATCTTTATTAAGACAAATTTTTCTTATGCTGTTTTGTCCTTCCCTACTTATTTTTCAAGTCATGTTTTAAAGTTCTACATTTGAGTTTTGTAGCATTCTTGCTTTAGGAACCTCTGCCTCTACTGCATTAATACAGAATCTACAGGAATATTGTTATTCTCTATCCCTTTTGACAAGTTATATATATATTTATTCTGTGTTTTAAGCTGAACTCAAATTTCTTCAAGAAAAGAATACTACTTTGCTAAGTACTTATTTCCTGTAAACAGCTTGAGCTCTGAATGGCACCAACGTGAACTGGAAAACTAACAGAAATTAGGTCCCCTAGTCCTTAAAGTAACTTATGGGTTACAATTGACTACATATCCTATACCAGTTATAAAGTCAGACTCATGTGATCTTAGTAAAAATTCTAAACCTTTCTAAGATTAACCTTTCTGTTTACCCACAACTTAACCAAATATGTCTTCACTATTCCTAAACTCCTACAAGTCAGTCAATACTAATTTTAAAAACTTAAGTACTAAAGGGCATCATGGCAAAATGCTTACAATTCATGATTTTAGATTTTAATAAGCTTTTTCATCTATGGCTGTGGTGTGTTCTATGCCAAGAAATGGGAAAGAAGGGTTGAGCTGACACAAAAGCATTGCTTTAAATTTTTTCTGAAAAGCTTATTCATGACCAGGAATGCATCCATATGACAATCTCTTCTTTAGTGGTACTTTATCCTCCTCCTCCTGCTTCTTCCGCCCTTCACTATAAAATAGTATGGGAGGGTTATCATCCTCCTTTAAATGCATATGAATCAAGACCTAAATCAGTACCCTGCAAGTCAACATTAATTTAATAATTTTTTCTAAATCAAATATTCAAAGCACTGTAAACAAAATGCTAGCCAATTTTGAGAAAAAATAAATAAAACACTCTCCCACAATCAGGGATATTTTATATTTAGGTTGAATGAAATGTGCTGAAATATAATGCTTAATAAGAAAACATCTTTAGTTAATAGGTTATTCAAATCAAGTGTTTCAACTTTAGACTTATATATGACACTTTTAAGGCCCCTGACTCAAAAAATCAGCTTCCTTAAATTAAGTTTGCTTAGAAACAAATGAGTTTTAAGAATCTAATCTTTTAGAAATTGTCAGTAATCTTTGTGCTACAAGGACAAAGTTTGAATACTGCATTGTACAATGAATGATAAAAGACAATCACATTATAACATTTTTAATGCTAGGAAACAGACCATGCTCCTAATAATTTCTGAAATTGAATTCTACTGTTAGCAAAACACCAGAATGTGGTACCATTAGATACACTTACTATACATTGATGGCAACTGCTGATTAAGAAGAGCTGATGGATAGCAGCTCAAAAATTGTATTTTAAAGTCCTTAGTAAGATTCCTAGAGAGGGCTAACATGTAAACTTTTATTTCATATTTTTTAAAGTGCTGCAAACAAAACAAATGTCTCAACATATGAAAGAATGTCTTATTGTCTTAATATATGTTTAGGAAGGCCACCTGATTTGAAAAAAAAAAAAAAATCACTCTGTTGCTTAAACTTGCATACCCCATTCTAATTTTTTCAAAAAGAAAAATATGGTAAGCTGGGGCAACTTGCAACACTCATATTTTAATTCCTACACAGAAGAGTAAACTAGATAAACAAGTTAGGCATGGGCACTTGATATGTTAATTCCTGATTATGGTTTTGCAGGGACTTCATAGAATAATCAAGTGGCACGACTACATTAGTTCTTAATAACAAGGTCAGGCTGACCAGCAGGCAAGCTTCAAGGATACCACCTGACTATGTTTATTTCTTGTTCATGGGAAACAATTATGAAATCAACCATGAACTATTAGCCAAAGATATAATATACTGATTTCTTCATATGGCTAGCAAATCACAAAATTCCCAGGGATATTAATGTTAACTTCTGAAATCACTTTATCTGGGAGTGTATCTTCATAGCAGTATACCTAATCTTTAACCCAAAGGAGAGTAAGGGAAAGGAGATGGATGGGTTGGGTGGGGAAGCATAGTCTTTGTTCACTCTACCACTAATGAAAACAGTCCTTATTTTAATTAAAAAAAATTATTGTATGGCAGGCAAAAACTGAATAAATAGGAAGGTTTTCATTCTGTTCCAGTACAAAACTTAAGACATTTCTTTCCAAAATTCTCAAGATAAGAATTTACTCACATGAATAACTAACTTTGAGAATTCAGTAAGTACAGTTAAAAAAAACACAAAAACCCCCAACCCTGTAAATGCTGTAAGGCTTACAAGATTGAGTTTAGAATGAGAAGTTGTTTAGGTTTTGAATTCTCAATAATTAAATCAGATGGTCCGCAAATAATGTTTCATCTTGAATTTTCCATGATTAGAACACTACTTTAAATTAACTAGTTCTGAATTTCAACAGATTATTGATTTTAATGTTACTTTTGAAAGTAATGTGACTATCTATCAGTGTCCAACTGATGAACGGACAATCTAAGTAATAGATAAAATAGAATAAAATAAGATCCCCTGGATAAACACTTGACACTTAACATGTAAACAAAACAGTTAAAATAAAGGGGTTTAATTCTGTAAAATATCAGTGTTCTATCTCTTTCCATTTCTTAAATTAATCTATTGTAGATAATATATACCCAATTTTAAAGTGACAAAAATTTAGGTTGGAAAACATATCAAAACATGCCTATAGCATAAACTACTCAATAAATATCTGTTGCATGAATAAACTTCTAGATCTAAAATTCCAGTAAGCAAATATCAAAATTGGCTCCTGAAATGGAAAGAAAGGCAAGCTTTATGAATAATGATGCATAAAGCTCAATTTGATGGCTGTTACCCAGAGAGTGCTAGATTCTTAATTTGTAGTTTTAAATTTAATATTTTCTGGGTGAAATGAGAGCTACAAAAACCATCTAGACCAGATGACAGTCAGGTACGAAGAGACTTTCAATTACATTAATTTGTTCATATAATGATTGCCAAACATTAAGTATTGTAAGCTCACAAGTGCTACTTTTAAGGCTCAGTAAAATAGAAAACGAAACGCTTTTAAGTTATCATAATATCTTATAATGCCTAAAACAATTATGCATACAAAAAGTACTCAAGAAATGTCATCTGATGATTTCAAATGACTTTGTGAATTGTTCCTTAAAGGTACACTTCTCCTAAATTGTTCACATATTCCTTAATTTTACATGGGCACTTTCACCAAGTGAAAGTGCTAAAAGTAAATCACAATTTTAAAACATGTCAGGAAGATATGCCAAAAGAGATATAAGTGCTTTAAAGTATACCACTGATTTTCGAAGTGAGATACTCAATCAAAAATGAGACCAAGATAAAACTTCACAACAATAAGCCTCTTCACATTATGAGATAATACATAACAAATTATAATTTAGCATTCCCTGATCAGAATAATTAAGAAAAGAGGTAGAAAACTTTATCTGGAAGATCTTGTAGTGAAGATAAGTTTTAGAGGGTGCGCCTTGCAGATTAGTCCACCAAGCAAATGGCTACACATCTAATATTAGGAAGAAGCATAATTCTGAGAGAGCTGAATAAGGCAAGGATTCTAAAACTTTCATATTTTGGAAGTAAAACCAAATTCATTCAACAGTATTACCCCAATTACTTTAAAACTTAAAAAAAAAAAAGATTATGATTAGCAAAGTGCTAATTTGCAGAAATATGGAATTTTAAAACAAATTAGTGGAGGGATAAGGCTAGCACAAAAACAAACACTGTTTAGTTATGCAAAAGACCTTACAAAAACCAAAGAGAGCATTATCACTTTAGATGAAAATTTTTTTGGATGAAGTGCTCTTAACAAAAAGCTGAGAAAATTAAATCCCTCCAGGTAAATCTTTACATAAAAAGGCAAACATTGAGCACTCGAATTTCAATAAAAAAAAAAATACCCTGCTTAATTTCAGAATTGTAACCAATGTGACAAAGACCAACATGAATTGCATTAAAACGAGGCCAACGGTCTTTTAAAGCTTCAATAAGCTGCTCAGGCACCTATTCCCTCATACATTCTACTTTTTATACACTAGAAATCTTAAACAGGGCACTAGCAGTTCCTGTTTTTAGACAACATTCTCAAGGATGAGACTCATCCCTGTAAAAATTGCTTGTGATGTACTTATAAGTGGTTAAGTACACATTTATGAAGTGTACCAAATTGCAATATAAAATCAACTTTGACAGGTCTAAGTATCTTCATTTGATGAATCTATTCATAATTCAGAAATTTAACTCAGTTATTGAAAGGACTCAATTACTGCAGACATTGTGGTAAATGTCCAGTGGCCTCACAGGAGGCCTTCTGCATTATGGAAAATGTGATGTTTTCTTCTATGAGTTAAAGCTGCTGGGTGCTAGTTTATAATACTAATTCTCAATCTTTAGGTCAGTGTCAGTAGGTGGCAAAGACCACCTATTCTGTCACTTCAGCAGAAAGAGGCATGTATCACCGCTGTAGACAAAAATCTGTAAACCCGCACACTAATTTTAATCTTAACAAGGAATTTCAGTGTCTTAGTGGTTTTAAGTTAAAAGGATGGTTCAAGCATTGTGTCCTTTGTTCTTTAGGAGTACGAATAGCTTATTAGAAAATCCAGAGCGTTCTGGATCTGTGAGGTAGTAGGCTTCAACCCTCATTCGTGCATAGATCACACTTCTCCAAAGTTGGTATGGCCTGTCTCCTTGGCATGTTCCCTTGCTTCTGCTTGTCCAGTTAATCCCTTCTGACACACCATGCATCTCAGGGTGAAGCGGTTTACATCAGTAAATTGTCTCCTTCTTCTAGCTTCATCTGCTAATTCCAGTGCTTGTACAAGGACAATATCATCATTAGAGGAGAAAATGGTCAGAGGAGGTGTATCTGGATCAGGAAAGTTACGCTGAAGTGGATCATAGTGGATGCCATCATAAATAAGCAGGACCCTCTTGGTATATCCCACATCTTCCCCAAAACGATCAATTCTCACCGTCTGTGTATCCACTACACATATTTCACATTGATAAAACTTGGACAAAATCGATATCTCAATTGCTCCTCCCCAAGTATCATCCCTTTTGATCCAGTCACAGTACTCTTGATTTGTTTTTCCCAGTATTGCCTCACTATAAAAGTCTGGATCACTTGCTACAATTTGTGCTATGAGGCGTCTCATCTCAGGAGCACAAGCTGGATTCAAGACTCCTCCTTCAACGACATAGTACACACTGGTGAAGAGGCAAGAGTTGTCTGCTGGGACCACGGTTCTGGTAAGCACAGGCAAAGTTTCCCTGATGTAACTAGGAGCACCATGTATTGTAAATGCAGGTGAAGTTTTAGGTCTGGTTTGGTCTTCTTCAACGATCAGCATGTCACCTGTTAAAAACAAAACAAATCCAGAACTGCAGAGAAATTATAAATGAAATTGGGTATTCACTAGCTAAGTCTGTAAATTACAAATGAGTTAAAGCATAAACTGTGATTACTAAGAATACAGCTTTGCAAACAAATGACTAGTAGCAACACTTTTTGTTCACTGAATCTTCATCAAAATGAAAACAAAGAACAAAACACTTCAGATTACATCCCAATTTACTGAAGGGGCCTGGAAAATACAACGTCACACTTACTTAAAAAGATACACTTCACAAACAAAACTTCCTATCCTTTTATAGTACTTTTCAGGTGTTCACTATGGACTAGGCCACTAGGGGGTATTCCTCCTCCTGAAACTTACATCTACCGTATTTACTGTTTACAAGGTACTTGACACAACAACTGAAAGCTTTTAATGATCCATGCTGATGTTCAAGTTTTAACACTGGACAGAAATAACTGCAGTTGGTTAGAACTTGATAAGGCTTTCAGTGAGTGCTTAAAAGCTAACTCATTTAATAAAATGAGTATGCCTAACTGTCTAAGAACATACGAAGGAAACTGCAAAGACCAAACAGAGAGAAAAACAAGCAAACAAATGAATAAACAAATAAATACTCCCGCACCATTGAGACCTGATCGATGATACAGGGAAAAAGAACCATTAGAACAGTAAGAACAGGTCCTACTTCTTCACAGTTTTATGTACACAAAGGGAAAACAAAACGAGTGAGATGGTTTCAGGGTAGAGCAGCAGGCTAGGGTGAGGGGACTGTGGGGTATTCTTTCAGCCCAGAGTAAGGACCAGGAGCTGCTGGTCGCCTGCCTCGGCCTCCGCCAAATCCTCTGTTCTTTGACCGATTCCCGCCCTCGTCCTCGGAGCCTCCAGCCGACCCATGGCCACCCTACCTCAACTTACACACTCCTCTCCGTCCTCCTGGGACCCTCCCCTGGCCCGCCCCGGCTCCTTACCGGACTGGATAGGCAGGTCCCCCAGAACTGTTTCCCCGTCGCTGAGATCCAGGCACTCAGGCGGGTATCCGACAAGGATGCGCTGGCCGCCGGGGGCGATCCCGGTGACGGCGGCAATCTGGCCCTGGAGTTCTCGCACCCGGGTTCGGCCGGACAACCCCTGCAAGACATGGGTGCCATCCTTGGCCTTGCAGCGGAGCCGCCACATCGTGTCGGTCCGACCGCCCACAGACCAGACGCCTGCGGTGCCAGCTTTGGTCCCGGCAGCAAGTTGGGAGACGCCGCCGGGGCAACCAGCCACCGGGTGGACTCCAAAATGGCCGCCTTTTGCGGGACCAAACATCGCGAGATGTGGCCGGTGGTTACAGTTCTCGCGACACTGTGGTGTGGCTTCCGCCTTAGCTCCTTAACGAGCGCGAACTCTTAAAGTGACAACTAGTTTTCTTCCCACTCTCAGCCAAGGATGATCGGTCTGTTTCTAAATACACAACGGGTCTTGCTACTTGCAGAGCGAGTGGGGTGCTCTCCGCGTCGGTGACATATATACTGCAGAGCAAGGGGCGGGGAAGGAACTCCCCACGGAGCACTGTGGATGGAATGTGACCTTGCACGTGGCGAGGTCGGAAGTTATTAAATCGGGGCTTCCAAACTACACCCCAACAACCCCGGAGACACAGTCAGAGTTCAGGACGCAAACGAATGCCAAGAATGGCCAGTGAGTCAAAGGTCCAACCCAAATAGTCGGACGCTCGTGACCGGACTCGCGCGGCACCCGACCCTGACTCACGGTGCCGCGGGGCCGAGCCGGCCTTCCAGCCGCTGCCACATCAGAAAGCACAGTGTGAGGTCAGTCTGCGGCGGGGCAGCTGCACCGCACAGGTGCTGGCGGGACAAGGAGGAATGGCGAGGCGCCACCGTGGTCCTCGGTGCTGCCGGCGCGTGCTGCAGTGAGACGCAGCCACTGCACTCACAGCTGCGCGACGATGCCTGGTGATGTGACCCTTTCAACCCCGGGCGCATGGGGCCCAGAGCTGCGCTTCGCGAATACTAGGCGCTCCATAAGCACTTGCGGAATGGACAAAGACAGACTTCTTGTCAGTTAGGGAGAGGGCTACTGTAACGCTCTGGGAGTTGTGAAGGCTTCCAAGAGGGCACAACTATTTGGACTGTTTTGAAATGAATGTAATCCCTGGCGATGGAGGAATAAAGACATCCCTGTATTTATCTCTCTTTTTCTTTCTTTCTTTCTTTTTTTTTTTGAGTTGGAGTCTCACTCTGTCACTCAGACTGGAGTGCAGTGGCCGCTCCCGGCCACCGCAGCCTCGACCTGCTGGGCTCCGGCGATCCTTCCGCCTCAGCCTTCCAAGTAGCTGGAACTACAGGCGCGCGCTACCACGCCCGGCTCATTTTATGATTTATTATAGAGATGAGGTCTCGCCAAGTTGCCCAGGCGGGTCTCGAAGCCGCGGGCTCAGGCAATCCACTCACCTCAGCCTCCCAAAGGCGCGGGATTACAGGCTGAGCCACCGAGCCCGGCTCTCTCTTTTTTTCAAGACATCCCTACTCCCTCTTTTTTTATCCATCTTGGATCCAGACAGCAGTTCCCTCTCCCCCTCCCGGAGTGGGTTATCAACAGAACCGAGCATCAGACACGCCTGCTGGGGCAACCAGGAATTGCGTGATCCACTTGGGACGTGCATACTCACCTTCACTGCAGAGGCGCCGCTTCTGAATTAATTATATGAAACTTTTGCATCTTTCCACACCTTACATGACTCAGTTTTTTGCTGGTGCGTTTTTCCTTCTTAGTTCTTCCCTATACCCACGACAAATGTTACAGCTTGGGGTAGGAGGTAGAAGGGGAATAAAGAAAGTAGTTGGAGTCCACTGGAGTATGAGGGCGGTTCCAGGGAACCGGTTCAGCGAGAAGAGCAGTGATTTTTCTTAGGTTACAGAGTCTGACCTATGGGAAGGATCTACAAACACCCTAAGGTGCAGCCAGCCCAAGTATTGTGGTAGTTTATTGTAGCAAAGCTTCTCTAACTAAAGCTTATGTTCCTGTTTACGGATCTAGCCAGGTCTTGCTGAGATTCAGGAATAAAAGCGTTAATCCTTGCTACGTCACTTAAAAAAATCACACCCCCTCTCAAGAGGTCTGCACAATAGTCCATTCTCGCGAGATTAAGAGGCTTTATTAATCCCACCCCCAGTCTATTAGTTACTAAGCAACAATACAACCAACCCCCGCAGTACTGGAAGACTCCGGAGCTCGAGATGTTTCTCCTCCACTGAGCCATCCTCTTTCTGAGCCAGTGTCAGTGGTTCCGTCTTGAGCCCCGCCCCTTGGAGCTTGCGAACACTCTGATTGGTCGATGATTCTCTCCAGGTGAGGACCCACGCGCCAGCGGGCGGAGCCGGGCGGGAGCACGTGACTTGCCGGCGCCTGGAGTGCCGGCCGCGGCCGCAATCTGTCGGCGTCTGTCTGCCGCGTTGCAGTGAAGCACCGGGGCCACCGCTGGGAGGGGTCTTAGGAGAGATCTTAGGGTGAGCAACAGCTGCGCAGCGCCTGGAAGGGGCTGGGCGGGCGGAATGGGGGGGCGGGCTCTGTGCACCCGGATGAGGTGCGGGGCGGTGATGCCCTGCCCTTTTTGGAAGTGCTGGCCCACGGGCATTGCTGGAAGAGCTTCGTCCAGGGATCGGGAGCCGAAGCTGTGTTTGGGTTGGAGGATGTGTGTGGTCGGTGGAGGAGCCGTGCACCGTCGTTGAAGCAATGGGACCTTCCGTCCTCACGAGCCCCTTCTTGTCTGAGTTTGGGGAGTGAGCTTGGGGCTCTCCCACCCCAGTTCGGATCAGGACTTAGCCCTTTTTCTGAGGTGACCTTGGGGAAATCTTTTACCACCTCAGCTCCCCAATGTGCCTTCTTAAGACTGTTAATTGGCGAGAGGGTGCATAGCAGGGCTTGAGAAAGACAATACCAGAGAAATGGTAACATGCTGGGGCTGTCTCAGGGTCCAGTTACAATTCAAGGAATATGTTTGAGATTTTCCCACTTCTCTCATTTTTTCAAGACTGAGTCTTATCATTGGATTAGGATTACTTTCTTGATAATGAACTTGATCTATTCATAACCCACCCCAATTGCTGTCACTACTGTGCCTAGGTTGTTAAAACTAGGATGTGAGGTTATGAGAGTGCTTGGGCAGGCAACTTAATTCGATTAACCTCCGTTTTTCAATCTGTAAAATGGGGAGAAGAAATAATGGTAGCAAAATCTGCCGTATTACAAGATTATGAGAAGGATCGAAGCAGGTAATAACGTCTGTGAATGTAAGCTTATAAGTGTAATGTTCTAGTGAAACTATCGGTGAGGAAACAGAGGGCTAAGGAAGCAGCTATTAACTGGAAGAAAGAGTGCTAGACTTAATTCTTGGCCCAGGATGCTTTTATTTATACTATAGGGATCCTCTGTGCGGAGTGTTTTGAGGGATGTCTCCTTCCTTTATATTGTTTTTGTCTCTTTCAGGCATCTGAAGAGCTGTCATGTCTGGGACATCTTCCTCAGAACAGAACAACAACAGCTATGAAACGAAAACCCCAAATCTTCGAATGTCGGAGAAGAAATGTTGTTGTGAGTTTTGGGAAAGAGGAGGGACTGCTCTCTCCTGGGATTTTATCTTGGGAATATAGTTGTAATTCTAGACTCTGCTGCTTGATGGGAGTAAGAAATAATTCTTTGACATAGGAATTTGAAAACATTCTCCAGGGTGGAATTTCCTGTCTGGAACAAGTAACTTGGTGAAATGTCTGTTCTTGGACCTAGGCTGCTGGTGTAGCTCAGTAGTTTCTTACCTCTTTAACTGTATTTCTGCCTACTGGAGCTATCTGCACACTGGATTGCTGATGGAAGTTAGTACAAGCAGTATTGTACACACAGTGAGTAAGACTGGAAGAAAGAGGGTAGAATACAGGAATTACTCAGGGCTGGTGATGTTACACGTTTCTCTTTAGATCTGTTGCGCTAAGTTTGGGGGAAAGAGGTGCTGCTCATTATAAAAAATTGCAGGTTGGAGCTGGTGCTACCTGGCTTCATTCCTAAGGTTTCCAGGGAATGAGCTTCTCTGGCACTTGACTTCTCACAATATCTTGAGCATCTTACTTTCTCACAGGTTTAGCCTTTGTACTTGGCAAACTATTTTCCCTGCAGGTTTGTCCCTCAAGGACAGCTTCCATGCCAATCTTTTAGACACAGACAAGACAGCAGGAGGGTTTGCAGGGAGGTGCAGCATTGTTTTCTGTCCCCATGCATCTGCTATTCCTAAGCTTCCCAAGAGGTCTGGGATACTGTCTCCTAGATGTTTTGGGGGAACTTCAAGAAATGCCAACTCCTGCCCTGCTTCTGAATTGTACCTTTTCTTTGGAATCCTATTAGTTAGTTCTTCTCATTTCAGTGGTTATATATATTAGCAGGTGGAAACAACTGACCATCATGAGACTGGGAATTGTCTCATGTTCAAAGCTTTCCCCAGGGCCTCAATCTTGATGTCATGTCCTTGTCAGTTTCATGATAAGTGATGATAATCTCTCTTTACCTAGCACCCATGAGGCCTGCTGGACAGAAGCAGCTGATTTGGATGTGATACTGGGGTCAGCCACACCTCTACAATTAGGGTCTCCTTTTTCTGCCAGGGCAGGAAGCAAGGTACTAAGGGCAAAATACCCCATGAAAGTTAACTAGTTTGGCATGAAGCTTGAGTGCACCTCTGGAGTCAGATTGCTTGGGTTTGAACCTGGCTTTACTAATTCCTAGCTGAGTACTGTTGTACAAGTTGCTTATCCTCTCCATGCTTTAGTTTACTCCTTTTTAAAGTTGATATACTAATCTCCCCCAAGGATGATGTAAGGATTAAATGAGAAAATATAGTAACGTATTTAGATGAGTGTTGGGCATATATTGCTAATGTGTGTTATTTTTCACAGGTAACTCAAGCTGCATGTAGTATTCATTCCTGAAATATATTTATTGAATTACACTCAAATATTGTACTGAGAGATGACACTCCCTGTGAAGAATTGTTTTTTCAGAAAGAATGTTTTCTCAAAGGAACCAACCTATAGGGAAAATCATTGGCAAAGTACAAGTTTGACAATACTGTAATCTAGATTTGGGGATCTGGGATGCCCCCTTAAGGGTGGGAGTATATTTGCATTACTAGGACAGTTGATCCAAAAGAGAGCTGGAGCTAGGGGCCAGAGTCAGTAATTGTGGGAGTCTCTGACTGCACGATGCCCAGTAAGTCCTTTTTAACTTTGCTTTATTCTCCACACTAGGAATCTCTCCTGCTTGCCTTCCTAACTCTGCTGCTGTTTTTCTGCCTTGAGGCCATCTGATGAGTCAAGGAAGCAGTAATCCCTGTTTTCTTTTCTGACTTCTAGACTCTCATTCTTGCTCTGGGCTCTAATTTCTTTTTTCCAAGCTCTACTGTCTTCTCTACACAGCTTTTTATCCCTCATTGGAAGTCTCTGGGCTGTCCTAAAGCTACCGTTATTATTATTATTTTTTAACTCCAGTCTCTTCTCACTTCACAGCTGGTCTGTGAGACTGTTGAAGCCGTAGTTCAAGGAGGAAACACAGTTATGAAGATATGTGTCAGTTGGTTTCCTTTTCCTCTGCCACGAATCTGTACTTTAGAGCAGGTTCCTCTGTCTGCTTAGTGTTCACATCAGCAGTTGCTTTTTGAATAGCCTAACCGTTGTTCCTTGCTGCTAATTACACCTGTGTTGGCTACCTTTGACTCTGGGAAGTGACTGGGCTTTAAGTCGTCAGGGCTGAAGAATGACTCCAGGGAACCAAAGCCTCCAAAGGAGCATTACTGGGACTTCATCTGCTCCAAAGTTAGGGTGAAGAGGGAATGCTGACTGAGGAGCCTTTAAGGTGCTCGGATAACTGGTTTCAGGACTCTATCAAGGGGGAGGGAGGTGTCTACATGCCTTTTTTTTCTTTTTCTTAAAATTTTAAAAATACATTTTCAGTGGATCTGGAACAGATAAGTTCCTTTCCCTGAACACAAAAGCAACACATGTTCATGAAAAATTCAAGCAATACAGAAGGTGAAAAGTTAAAACAAAACAACTCTCACAATCTCTCCTTTCTCTGCTAAGTTTGATTCTTTAGACAACTTATTCTGGTGTGCCCTATTAGTGAATTGGTTCCTGCTATACATACTCTATTCTACTGCCATTTTCTTTCTTTCTTTCTTTCTTTTTAACTTTCTGTATTTTGGACATCTTTTCATGTTGGTAAATCCAGATTTCTCATTTGGCATTGTATGAATATGCCAGTTTTCTACTGATTGACATTAAAATGGTTTCCACTTTTTCGCTTTGACAGAGAATGCCACAGTGAGCATCCTGGCATGTATATCTTTGCAAGCTTGTGACAACAACTTTTCCTATAGAAATAATTAAAGAGAAGATAGGCCTATTGGAAATGACCAGTGTTACTAATTTACTCTCTAACAAGTTCCATAGTGTGAGCTGTTTTCAGTGTTTCAAGATACTTGATGGCAGTTGGGCATTAGGAACTATAGTTGCACTGGTTAACTGAAATACCAACTTTCTTAGTGTTTGGCTTGCTGTTATGTGAATTGGTTATTTCATGCCTAATCAAACAGCAGGAGGTAATCAGCAATTTTTATGGTTTCTGATGAATAAAAATAAGATAGTGAAACATGATTTATGGGCAGCATATTTCAAAATATTGGGCCTGACCTGGGCACAGTGGCTTGCATTTGTAATCCCAGCTACTCAGGAGGCTGGGGCAGAGGGATGGCTTGAGACCAGGAGTTTGAGACCAACTTGGGCAATGTACAATGTAGCAAGTATGTCTGCCTGTCTGCCTCTCTGTATGTGTCTGTCTGTGTCTCTGTCTATCTCCCTCCCCATATATATATAATATTGGAGATATTGGGCCTATTTAGAACCAATAATGGAAGACCTTCCTTGGTCATGAAAAGCTTGGAACCATTGTTTTCCTAGACTATCCTTCAGCATTAAGATGGAAAGCATAGTTGGGTTTGTCCTGAGGGTCTCTTTGTCCAGTGCTGACATGAGACACAGGACCTAGTAGCTGGGACTGAATGGGCAGTCATGAGACTAGGGCTCTGGTCAAAGTTCTGACATTGACTTTCTACTGTGGAACCATTGGCAATGCTCATAACTTTTCTTGGACTTGAGTTTTTCCATTTATACAGGGGAATTCATCAAGTCCTATGAAGGGAAAATGAGTTTAAGATTGAGAAAATGAGTTAAACCTAGTGTAAAAAAGGTAGAAGAAGTTTCCACTGTATGTCAAGAGGAGCGTTATATCGTCTCTGAAATTAACAAGCCAGCATACCATTCAAATTAAGGTGGTGATGGCAGGTGGTTTTGTTTTTTTTATCAGGAAGGACAGAATGTTCCTAGTTTTGCCAGTGTGACTGTTTGAGATAGGAAGTGTGGTTCAGTTACATAGTAAATTGAGAAGCTGGGTTGCAGCAGGTGTGTGTGGGCGCAATCTAGGCAGAGGTGGGAGGTGTGCTGGAGGGCTGCTGCGGAGTCCTTGGTGGCTGGAGTCCCTGGTGGCCAGTGTTTTCTTTTTATTCTTAGCATTCGCTGTTCAGTTTGGTAAACACAGGGCAGCTGGCTTCCTGGTTGCCTTCAGAGCAGCTCCCAAGTATCAGTTCATTTTAAGCTGAGAGTAACAGGACCTTTGGGGGAAATGCCTAATGGGCTGGAAGTTGTAGACAAAGCAGGCCTAGAATTGCAGGTAATGAGCTATATCATGGGGGATTGAGAAGAGTGTGGTGCTCAGCTGAGCTGGAGAAAGTGAAGACGCAGGGGATTTTACTACTTAAACCTGAAGCAGCTGATCCCATGCAGAGTATCTGTCTTGTAGGGGTCAGTGATTAGGGATTAATGCCAGCTGAGGCTGCAGAGTAGTATTTACTCGCTTTTGAGCTTCCTGTTTGGACAGAGATGAAAGGCATTTATGTTGCTCCATTACGTACCTTAGAGGGGCTGTTGCCTAGACTCAGGAATTTTCCGTGTGCAATGTGGAGAACAGCCTAAAAGCCAAGCCCTCTAGCCCCGCAGCTGAGTATCCACCCATCCCTCTACTAGGGCCACTCTGGCTTCTCAGTACTTCTTGCCAAAAACCTTCAGGAAACTTTGACTTTTCCTTCTGAGGTCACTTCTTCACCTGGGCCCCTCTGTTCACTTCTCCACTGAGATCTTTTACATTTCTTTCTCAAAATGTGAAAGATGAATTTTACATTCAAGTACCTCCATTTTACCCAATTCTTTACTCTTTGGGTCACTTTGTCCCAGAGCAGAGAAACCAACAACTTGCAGGGCACCTTCTGGAAAGCAGTGCTAGGAAATGAAGGCAAAGATGTTTCTTTCTCTTCCCATCTTATACAGAGCATTCCCTCGTCGGAGCCAGCAGAGTCTGAATCCTCCCAGATGACCTTAATTTGGGTCTTAGCCCCAGGACAGTGACTGGCAGTAGTGCAGGTCCCTCTGCCACCTCTTCTCTGCGGCAGGATGGGCTGGGAGGAGCCAGCCTCTGTGAGCCAACTGAGAAGGAGGCTTTTCTTGGATGGGAGAAAAGCTGCCAAGGAAGCATGAGACCTGGATTCTAGTACAAGGTCTATCCTTGACTCATTATGTGTCCTTAGACAAGTCACCTGACCTCTCAACATCTACTTTGCCCCACCTGTCCAGTGAGACTTATCTCTGTAAATGAGCAATCCTGAGATTAATTTACTAAAGAAAAGTAGACCAGTGACTGTTCATGCTTCTTGGTTGTCTTGCTTTACTTGGGCCAAGGAGGCAGGCTGGTGCTGGTACCCGTTGTAGGCTAGCTCTACCATGAAGCTTCCTGAGATCTATTCGGAACCTGTGTCAAGTGGGCTTTGCCAACTGATCTCACTGTGTTTAGAAATTCTCATTTAAGGAGGAGCTCATGGCCTGAATGCAAAGGCCAAAACAGCTAGGAACAGGGCTCTTTTTGTAGTAAGCTGATGCTTGCCTAAGGCTCTCAAGGGATGGGTGGGATCCTCAAGATAGAAATGCTATTGGGCCTATTATGAAAGTCAGCTCAGTTCTGCACTGGTGGAACCTCCAGGCATGAGACCTTCCTTCACAGATATATCATTTTTGTATTACTGGGCACTCATGTTAGGGAGGACACCATGGCTAGTTACTCAACATTGCCCTCTTTCCTGGGTTACCTCTGTGAAGACCTCAGACATGTGGGAAAGACATATCTTGCTTTGGGTACCTTCTAGAAGTCTGTTTCAGGAGGGTCTGCCTGATATCTCCTTATTTGCCTTCCCATTCTTCCTGGACTTTTGCCTCACAGGTTTATGAGGATTAAACGAGATCTGGACTAGGGAGTTCCTAGCTCTGTGCATAAACCTTATTAGGCTCCTAGTCATTTAATTCTCTTTTGTTTCATTTCCTTCTAGCATGGGCCTCCTACATGACCAATTCCCCGACTCTAATCGTTATGATTGGTTTGCCAGCCCGGGGTAAAACTTATGTGTCCAAGAAACTAACTCGCTACCTCAACTGGATTGGAGTGCCAACTAAAGGTTGGTGTGGATCATTACTTGGGAAGGGAAATTATTAGTTCTTGAGCCTCACTGCCCTCTGGGAGACTTATTCTTCCTGGTATCAAGGCTATAGGGTACTTCTGGCAGAAATAGAGGTTACTTTCTGGTTTACTGGATTTATTCCCCATTCTCCTGGCGTGGCTAGATTGGCCTTGAGGGAATGCCTCTGATAGAAGTATTATGAATTAGGTGAGTATAGGGCTTTACATTTGAAAGACCTGGCATGTGCATTATCTTATGTAACCCTAGCAGTATCTCTGTGAAATAGAATAACAGGAAATTAAAACTCAGACAGCTCAAGACTTGTCCAAGGTCTGGAAAGTCAGGAGCTGAACCCAACCCTTTGACTCTTTTTTTTTTTTTTGAGTTGGAGTCTCTCACTCTGTCACTCAGACTGGAGTGCAGTGGCTACTCCCGGCCGCTACAGCCTCGCCTGCTGGGCTCTGGCGATCCTTCCACCTCAGCCTTCCGAGTAGCTGGAACCATAGGCACGCGCTACCACGCCCGGCTAATTTTTTGATTTATTGTAGAGATGAGGTCTCACCAAGTTGCCCAGGTGGGTCTTGAACCTGTGGGCTCAGGCAGTCCGCTCACCTTGGCCTCCCAAAGTGCTGGGATTACAGGCTGAGCCACCGAGCCCGGCCACTCTTTGACTCTTAATCTGGTATTGTTCCCAACCTATCATGCTGTTTCTTTCATCCTCTGGGGCCCTCTGACATTAGGCCAAGAAGTCCCATTTGGTAGGGCCATCATATTGTTTTGCTGTTGAAGGATTTGGGTGTCTTCTGCAGTGTTTAATCTTGGGGTGTATCGGCGTGAAGCAGTCAAGTCCTATAAATCCTACGACTTCTTTCGGCATGACAACGAAGAGGCCATGAAGATCCGCAGGTGAGTCTTGTTTAAGGCCCGATCTGCAGGTCAGTTCTTGGCCATCATGAGACTGGGTGTGATAAGGTTTTGATTTCCCCTCAGTAAATATCTTTTTATATATTTTTTTTGAGTTGGAGTCTCACTCTGTCATCCAGGCTGGGGTCCAGTGGTATGCTCACGGCCACTGCAGCCTCGACCTGCTGGGCTCCGGCGATCCTTCTGCCTCAGCCTTCCAAGTAGCTGGAACTATAGATGCGTGCCACCACACCCGGCTAAGTTTTGTGATTTATTGTAGAGACAAGGTCTCATCAAGTTGTCCAGGCTGGTCTCGAACCCCTCAGGCTCAGGCAGTCCTCTCGCCTCAGCCTCCCAAAGTGCTGGGATTATAGGCTGAGCCACTGTGCCTGGCCCAGTAAATATCTTGTGGGGATGCTAAGGGTTATCTGATGGGCTGGTCGCCTTGGGCTTGGGTGGGTGGGAGGACGGGGCTCACGGTGATGCCTGTAGGCTAAGCCTGAGGAGGGATAAGGTCAGTGAATTGGGGCAGGGACAGGAGGAAGATACAGGATGGTGTAAAAAACCTCTGTGGAAAGGTTGAAAGATCCAGTGAGGAAAACATTCTGACCAGTGGGGAACTGAGTGGGAAGGGATGTGATTCCTATAGCAACCCAGCTGTGGGTGTCTCTGGCTGTGTTTGCGCTTAGCTCTTCTTGCTGGTTTCCTTTGCTCTTATGGCAGACAGTGTGCTCTGGTGGCGCTGGAAGATGTTAAGGCGTATCTCACTGAGGAGAGTGGGCAGATTGCGGTAAGCCTTATCTGCTTCTTCTCCTGGTCCCCACCCTTGCGGCAGCCTAGACTACTTAGTCCCTCCTTAGGTCTGCTTTGGTGGGGTTCCATTTCTTTCTTTCTTTAAGATTTTAATTGGCTGTATTTGTGATTCTAGAATTCACGGCCACTGCAGCCTTGACCTATTGGGCTCAGGCAATCCTTCTGCCTCACCCTTCTAAGTAGCTGGAATTACAGGCACACGTGACCATGCCCAGCTAATTTTCTTGATTTATTGTAGAGATGAGGTCTTGCTAAGTTGCCCAGGCTGGTCTCGAACCCCTGTGCTCAGGCAATCCTCTCACCTCGGCCTTCCAAAGTGCTGGGATTATAGGTGTGAGCCACCGTGCCTAGCTAGGTTTCCATTTCTTTGTCCGTACTCATTGTGTGTTTTCTTCCCAGGTGTTCGATGCCACCAATACCACCCGGGAGAGGAGGGACATGATTTTAAACTTTGCCAAGCAGAATTCTTTTAAGGTAGGCTCTGACTCTGTGCTGGAGGAAAAGAGATGAGTGAAGGTACGGGGTTAGGATGGGAGCAGATCTGTTTGATTCTCTTTTCTTGGCGCGTACTCCCAGTTCTTGAGTGTTCTGGACATTTCTGTTCTTGGGGTGTATTGGCATGAAGCTGTAAAGTCCTTTCTAAGAACTTTGGCCTGTGTGGTTTGAGGCCCAGGGCATGTGGTAAGAGCTATTTTTCAATGAGGAAGCCTTAAGGCCACTTTCATGAAGAAAATCCTGGGAGATGTGGTGGCTGGGTGGGGTAGGTGAGCATGTGTTCTTAATTAACAACCTGGTATTACTGACTGGTTTATCATTGCCTTCTCCATGGCCAGGTATTCTTTGTGGAATCTGTCTGTGATGATCCTGATGTCATCGCTGCCAATATCCTGGTGGGTGACACCCCTGCTTACTACTTCCTCTTCACCTTTTGTGCCCTATCTGTGTGGGGAGAAGGAACTGGGCAATGAATGAGATAAATAGACATGTTTAATCTCGCACAAAGATCTTTTCTATCTGCCAGTGTACCATTAGGTATTTTTACACTCTTCCCTTGGGAGTGGAGACTCGGGGTTTGAGGCATAAAGTAAGAATTAGCTGTTGAATGGAGACAAGGACTTAGACTGCAGGAGTCCTGGCTCTGTGTTCTAGGTATTATCTGGGTGCTGAGACCTAGATATTAGAATAGATCAGACTCTTCATTATCTGTCCAAGCCAACTTATAGGAAGGACGTTTGCCTAGCAGTTGTCTCGTAGTGCAGTCGATGTTTTATGCATTGAACTCCTTATGCCCTGTGGGGTTGCAGCACAAAACAGTCCCCATTTGATGGGTTATGCTCTGCTGTGCCAAATAGACATCTGTGTGGTCTCATGGTAGGGCATCCTGGCAATGTGGAAACTTGGGGTCATCTGAGGAGGAGGTATCTGGTTCCAAGTCATGCATTAGGGTCACACATCCTATTCTGAGTGGTAATGGGAAAAAATTGGAGCCCATTCTGTTTCCCAGGAAAGTACATAGAGGGATTGGGGCCTAGGAGCAGCTTCAACTGCGTGACTGCCTCTGTCCTTCAGCCAAGGGCAGGCACATGACTCCCCAGTTGTCTACTTTTTTAATTGCCAGGGTCACAGGAGGCGGGGGTGCTCAGTGAGTGGAGTGCCAACATTCCAGTGAAAGGCTACTTTTATGGACTTCTTTTTCTTTTTTTAGCAGTGGCTATTTGTAGGAGGGCTGTTAAGGGCAAACCTCTGACTAGGCCCCTACTGGTTCCTATGATTTCAGGAGGTAAAGGTGTCGAGCCCTGACTACCCTGAAAGGAACAGGGAGAATGTGATGGAGGACTTCCTGAAGAGAATTGAGTGCTACAAAGTCACCTACCGACCCCTTGACCCTGACAACTATGACAAGTAAGATTTATGGCCATGATTTAGAGGGTCTGAAGCAAAAGCCTCATCTGGAAAAAGAGGCTTTCTCCCTCTATCTCCTAACTTCCTTCTGATTATCCACACCTGTAATGTTCACATTATTACAGAGACGCAGGGTACGGCTTTGTAGCTTTTATTTGGTTTGCATCTTATACTTGGATCACTCAAAAATTTTTTTATTATCAATTTTTCCTCTGTATTCTCTAGAGAATGATTTGTCAATTTTAGTATTTTTGGAACTTTAAATTTGGGTAATTCTTTGTTGTAGGAGCTGTCCTGTGCATTGTAGTCTAGCAGCATCCCTGGCCTCTCTTTGCCCACTAGATGCCAGAAGCACCTCCTGGGGCAACCAGAAATGTCTGCAGACATTACCAAATGTTCCCTGGGAAGCAAAATCACTGCCAGTTGAGAACCACTGCTTCTAATCAGTAGTTCTGAACTAGGGTATTGTAGGACACTCCTCAAAGATGTCTCATCAGTTTGTGATCAATTTTTAAAGTTTTCTATACATATTATTTATATACTGTTTAAATATATGTATGTATATCATGTACAATATACATTGTATATATTACATATTGCATATTATATGTATGAGTGTGTGTGTGTGTATAGATTTATATATATTTTATATGCAAAGCCCTCAGGAACATGTCTGATTCAGATAATGTCTGATTAATGCTAGCCTTCAACCATGGTAGCATCTATTGGTGATATGGTATAGAATACGGATTAACTTGTCACGTATGAGGTGATGAGCCATAGCAAAATATCAAGTTCATGTTGAAGAAAGATGGTGTACACATGGAAATCTGCAAGAATATGACCTTGTGAAAGAGCATGCATTCAGGGCAGTAACGAGCTTTATTCAAATAAGGTTCAGACCTGCAGTCAAGCAAATGGTGGGACAAATGTACATGGCACACTTACATTGCTGCAGTGGTCTGTTTAATGTTTTGAGCCTTTCAGTTCCTTCAAGTGGGTTGCCTAGAATCCCTTTAATACAGAAGTTGAAAACCACTGCCCTAGATAAGGCATAAAAATCTGTTCTTCAGTTAGCCCAAAGTTCTACCTAGAAAAACCTTTTAGAAGACTATTTATGTATAAATAAATGTTTATATATAAATGTTTGTAAACAAATTTGTGTTTGTAGATGTTTGATCTGGTAGTATGGTGATTTGCAGCATTCTACCATTCTTTTCCTGAATTTTTTTTTTTTTTTTTGAGTTCGGGGTCTTACTCTGTTGCCCAGGCTGGAGTACAATAGCACAATCACAACTCATCACAACTTGTATCTCCTGTGCTTTAGTGATCCCCTCACCTCAGCCTCTCAAGTAGCTGGGATTACAGTTGCGTGCCACCATGCCCAGCTAGTTTTAAAATTTTTTTGTAGAGACAAGGTCTCGCTGAAGTGCCTATGCTGATCTCAAACTCCTGGGCTAAGCAGTTCTCTTGCCTTAGCCTTCCAAAGTGTTGGGATTAAAGGCATGAGCCACACTGCATCCAGTCTTTTTTCTGAATTTTTAAAAATGAAGCTTGACTTATTTTTATGGAAAGAACAATCCCATGATGGCCACAAAGTAAGCAGTGTCTGAAAGTACCTTTGAGAGCAGCTCAGTTTGGTAGATGCAGGGAGTGCATAGACATCCCAGTGTGGTTCCATGTAGACATCCCTACTTATGGTTCTTCTGCTTCCTCCCCTCACCTCATTGCCGGTGTTGCCATATTCTGGCCAGGTCTTGACTGCCTCAGATGGGGTCTACTCTTCTCAGCAAATTTCAGACTTAGCAAAATCTTCAGGTCATCTTGTCTAGCCCCTGGTGAGAAGTCTGAATTCTGTTTGCTATGTTTATTTACATTGCATGGCACAGTACAGACACTGAGGAACTGGTATGGACTGTCTAGAAGTTCAGGAAGTTGTACTACTTCTTGATTTTGAGGAGTGATCCATCTCCTACCATTGTGATTCCATAAATATTGGTACAACAGAGGAGAGGAGGAAGAGTGGTGGAGAGCTGCTAGTCACTACAGGAATCCTTTCCCTCCTACTCTTATTCTCAGATTTCCATACCCAGGGAATTTTTTTTTTCTCTTGCTGTATCCCAGAGATCTTTCTTTCATCAAGGTGATAAATGTGGGCCAGCGGTTTTTGGTCAACAGAGTACAGGACTATATCCAGAGCAAGATAGTCTACTACCTCATGAATATCCATGTCCAGCCTCGTACCATTTACCTTTGTCGGCATGGAGAGAGTGAATTCAATCTCTTGGGGAAGATTGGAGGTGACTCTGGCCTTTCTGTGCGGGGAAAGCAGGTGAGTAGTTAGCCAGCAGGTTGGATATCCTGGGCTTAGAGTTAGAAGGGCATAGTTGAGGTCATCTCTTTTATCCTTTTCCTTAAATCCCATTTGGGCTTAGGCTATGGTTTCAGATAGTCAGGTAAGCACTCAAGATGTTTTCTTGCTCACTGCTTTTAGCTCTGTATTGCAGAGTGGATAACCTGGGCCCATTATTGCTATGATCGTTCTGCCATCAGATATTTATTGGGCACAACTTGTGTTCTTAGCTCAGTACAAGGTGCTCCAGTTCATTTGCTTTTGGTTTTATATTAACTATGTAACACCTTATAGGTTTTGACCATGGCTATACATATTGCCATTACAGGCCAAGTTAGCAGTCTTTGTGTATATGTGTGTTGAATGTGTGTGTATGTGTGTGTTCCTTTTTAAAAATTTTTTTTTTTTAATTTTTAAACTCCAGTTTTCCCATGCTCTAAAGAAGTTTCTGGAGGAACAGGAGATAACAGATCTCAAAGTATGGACAAGTCAGTTAAAGAGGACTATTCAGACTGCTGAATCTCTTGGGGTGACCTATGAGCAGTGGAAGATTCTAAATGAGATTGATGCTGTGAGTAGGAGACTCTGGTAAAAAAAATCCAATAAGAGTCCATGTATTCAGGCAGGAACTCTCAGAAGTCACTAATTGGGTGCTTTATCTGGGAAACTAGAACCACAAAGTAGAAATTTCGAGGAAGCTGAATCTATGGCCAATTCAGGGGTTCAGGGAGGACATTTGCATCCCTAGTCGGGATTTCCCGCTTGTTTTAGTACCTGTGCTGATGATGGGACCCAAACCAATTTTTGACCTAGCCCTTCTGGCACCTGGTGAGAATGGGGCTAACAAGGATTTATTTTGTGTTTGTATAGTTGCTTCCCAGGAAAAAGGAACAGCTAACAACTCACCTCTTTAATTTCTTCTAAGAGCATTTGGTCAGCTATTCAGGAAAAGTCCTGCCCCAAATTTCTCTTGGCTTTCTCTGTCCTTAAGCATAAAAGTCAACATTTCTTTTTTCCTTCCTCTCTGTCCTTTTATTTCTCCTGCAAAACCTCCCGTTCCTTCAGTTTACCTCCCTTCCTGCTTCCTGTTCCTCTTATCCTGTTGACCTTTCAATTCCCCACAGTAGTAGGAGAAAGCGGCAGCTCAAACTAGAGAAGCTGCCTCCTCTCTGGTGTGGTCCTCACCCTGGGAGTCGCAGACACCTTGGTGACAATCAGTTGCAATTCATGAAAGGATTCAGCACAGTGCCTGGCATGTAGTAAGAAACTAGCATTCTTCAGAGTCATCTTCCTTATTTGGGAAGGGGCTGGTGTGGGTCAGTCTACCTCTTCAAACCAGTGTGGCTTTTGCAGGGCGTGTGTGAAGAAATGACCTATGCAGAGATTGAACAGCAGTACCCAGATGAGTTTGCACTTCGAGATCAAGAGAAGTATCTGTATCGATATCCTGGTGGGGAGGTGAGAGTTCCCTCACGTGGGGTGACTGTCTAGCCCTTTGCTGAGGGTTTAGCTTTAAATTAGATTAGGGATTGACTGTGATTTGGAGGGTTTAGGCATCATTTATCCTCCTACACTTGGGTCATACTGGGTTTTGAATGACTCATTAATTTTTTAAGATCTGCAGGGAAAAGGGTGACGACATCCTCTATGTTGAATATAAATAAACATGGCCTTTTCTACTTTTCTACATTTTTTTCATTGTACTACCTCAATCCCACCCTCACATAAGCAAGTGGAGTCAGGTAGATATGCAGAATATGAATTTTTTGCCTATCATTTTCAGAGTTTCAGGCTGTTTCCTGGTCTAAGTGACTTCATATTATAGGGATGTACAAGGGAAAAGTAAGTAAAACAGATTGTTAGAGGTCCAGGAAACCCCTAGGAGTCTCTTGTTGTCTTATTGCCATATTAACCTGTAGGAAGAAAAAAAAAAATACAGGTTGAACTCAAACTTCCTCTACTTGACCTGTAGTTTTCTTGGTTTGAATATTGCTCTTGAAAGATACGATTATTCTCAAGAGGTACCAGGGCTGGGGGCAATTAGCCGGCGACATCAAGTCGCCAAACCTCTAGGAGGAAAGCCAGCTTGGGAAGAAGAAGTGCCCTCTTGACTCTGGAGCCCAGCCACTGAATTGGCTGCCAGCTTGTGCTTGGCCTCTTACCAGTCTGCTTCATTTCCCTCTACAGTCATACCAGGACCTGGTGCAGCGGCTGGAGCCTGTCATCATGGAGCTGGAACGCCAGGGCAACGTCCTTGTCATCTCCCACCAGGCTGTCATGCGCTGCCTTCTGGCCTACTTCTTGGATAAGGGCGCAGGTGCCATTTGAGGGAAGGGCTGGGAGCATGTCCATGGGGAGATGGCTGTACTTGAGGTAGTACCAGGATCCCTGGCACCTGGACCTCCCCGTCTTCCACTCAGATTACAGTACACTCATTCTCTGGGAAGCAGTGTAGGGTTCCAGCAGCCACTGGATCAACTACATATAGAGTCTGCTCTACTGCTTCAAAGGCCCCCAGTGGAGGGTGGCTGCTGCTGATGCCCCTTGATCCTGCCTGGCTGACACTCTTGTGGTTGAATATTCCTAGCATATCACTCTGACTACTCAGAGGGTGGGATCTTAGAGGCATCTTCATCTTTTGGATTGGGAATAGGGCAGTTTGTGGGTAAGAGCAATAAGGAAGTGCTGCTGCCTTCTCTGAGACATCTTCTCCTCCCTTCCTGATCTCCCTGAGCTACTGGGAAGCCTGAGTTGTGGAAGCCGAGCTCAGTGTCCCCGAGCTGCTGGGAAGCTGTTGAGGCTAAGCATTGGTGGCCTTTGCTGTACCCTGGTGGGCCCCTTCCTGAGTCCATCTCTGGCTCAGCACTTATTCCTGTTTTGTCTGCATGGAGGGATCTAAGATGGCCTTATTTCTTTCCTTAGCCACTCAGCTTGGGTGACTTTTTGGTCTTGAGAATTGTCTGGGGTTTAGAGGAGGAGCTGTACAACTCTAGGTGGTGATCAGGGAAAAGAACACTCAAGATGAGCTCCTTAGATTCTCTCATTCACTAACTTGACCTTGTTCTATAATACTAAGAGACTTTTCTCACCTGGTCTTTCTGCTTTCAGATGAGCTACCATACTTGAGATGCCCTCTCCATACCATCTTCAGACTTACTCCTGTGGCCTACGGTAACTATGAGCTTAGGGGCTGGCAGGCAGTGGGGCTTGAGAAAGGTCAGGATATTTTAATTTTCTCTGAAGTTTGTCCTTCAAGTGCAACTTCATCACCCCTGTATTCCAGGGAAGTTCTGTTGGTGTCTTCTGTTTTTAAAGGTGTGGATGGATGGATGCATGGATGGATGCATAGATGGATATACATACACTTATGTTATACTTTCCCATAATTAAACTAAATAATATTCCTTCAGACTTTTTTTTTTTCCTGAAGGCTTCTTCTCTTTCCTCTGCTTTCTCAGGGTGCAAAGTGGAAACAATTAAACTCAACGTGGAAGCTGTGAACACTCACCGTGACAAGCCAGCTGTAAGTATCTTCCCACAGTGAACACACTAGTTTCCCTGCCACCTTGAGTTTTTGAACTTTTGGCGTCAAGAGACTGGGATTTCTTTTAAATACTAAAGAGAAACAGATCCAGAACTCATATCGAATATAGTCTGCTTACTTCCAAAGGAAGAGATATTGGAATTAGTATTACTTTTTAAAATTAGTATCCTTCTTATGAATCTTTTCCTTGAGGGTTGGCTCCTAGAAACTCATTTAAATGTAGAAAGCATTTGGCTGAAGTGAAATGCAAATATCCCCACCCCATGCCCCCCTGGAAGGTCTCCCTTTGGAAAGCAAGCGCCCAGAGGAGCCTCTAAGGTAGAGGTTAAGAATTTGAATTTGTTCTTAGGTCTGTCCCAGGTAATCTGTGCGATCTTAAGTAAGCCCCTCCCTTTCCTTGGGTCTTCTTCCTGCTTCGAAATATCATGCTCAAGGAGCTTTCCCCTCTACAAGCCTTTTAGTTCCCTGGTACTGGGAGACCAGGCAATGTCCCGTGTCCCATGAGAGACCCTATGTGCAGAGGAGCAGGAGTGAGGGAAGCTGCTGTGGTTACAGGCATTATTTAACCTGTATGAATGAGCTTTTGGCTTGGCTTTCACTTGTGTGGTGTCCCTCCATTTCCAATCAGAACAACTTTCCCAAGAACCAAACCCCTGTAAGGATGAGAAGGAACAGCTTTACGCCTCTGTCCAGTTCGAATACAATAAGGCGTCCAAGAAATTACAGTGTTGGGAGCCGGCCCCTCAAGCCCCTCAGCCCTCTCCGTGCCCTGGACATGCAAGAAGGGGCCGACTAGCCGAAGACCCGTCAGCATTCCGGTGGTGTAACCGTGTGTTTCCCTCCATCCCTGGCTGCCTACCCTTGTCACTAATCACCAAGGAGTCATTTAACTTCCTCCCCCTGCCTCACCCCAATACCTCACCATTGGTCTTAACACAGAACATGAGGTTTTGTATTTACAGACCAATTTTAGCTGTTCTCCAATTGAAAACATGTCCCCACCCAGGGACAAGTTGGCGGATCGGGTCTTTTAGGACAGGTCCTCAGACGGGATGGGCTGGAAGAGGAGGAAAAGGATACACTTCCTTGGGGCTAAGCATACCCCATACACGTGGTTCTTCTCTCTGTTCTCTGGTATCTAACCTTACTGATGTCCTTGTGTTGGTGAAATGGGGGTGAATGAGGGTGGGGGGAGAACAAAGGCCTGTTTTTCCTTTTCCTTTGTCTCTTTAATGTGTGTTTTACTCACAGTCTTTATTTGACTGCTTGCTTCCCCCTCTTTCATCTCCTCTTTGGATTTGTCCATTGTCATGCATGGCGTTGTCATGTCTGTCTAGGAAGAAGTGGGTGGTTGGCAAGAGAGAAGTCTGGCTCAGTTTATGCTTTCTGCAGTGGCCTAAATGGGTCTGGACTTGGGGTGTCTTTCCTTTTCCTGCTCCCTTCATCTCTAGCCAGGTCCTGCAAGGGCCAGCCCAGCTACAGAACATCCACAGAATACTCTGGAGCTTGCAAGTGGACATAGGGTGAGAGTTCTTGCATCCTTTCATGAGTAACAATCCCAAGTCTTCAATGCCTAGAGAAAGCTGGCTCTGAGGACATGGAAAATGTCTTGGTTTACCTTTTTAGCTCAAAGAGTTGGGCATGGATCTTTTGGTGTCTGTGGAGTGGGGTTTAGGAGAGTAGGGCAGTCTCTAGCTTTTGCAAGGCTCTTGTAGGGCAGCCACATGTTCTCTCCAGTGGCTCCCAGGTTCTTTGCCAGAAAATCACAGCAACCTTCTTGCCAAAGCCAGTGGCCTCTGGGCTATTTAGAAGGACAGAGTTAGAATCAGTAGTCACCACTGATACTTGCTCAAGGCAAAAGGCATAGGAGAGTTTGCTAAAGCTGCTTATTATTTTCTAATAATTTTCAGCACACTCTAAGTTTAAAAATCAAACTTTCTTTATGTGAGCAATTTTTTCCCCCTAAAGGTGGAAAAGCTTGATGATGAATTTAATCGCTCTCATTGGAGTATTCTTTTGTTTATGAGGAGAAATGATTTCATCTTGATATTAAGAGGGGTCCTTGGAACCCTGTGGGGTCTAACTCTTGACTGCTTGTATTTATCTATTCACTTCTGTCTTTTCATATTCTTTACAGGATTAAACAGGAAATGTTTAGAGAAGGGAGTTCTAGCCCCTTGGTGGCCCATAATGGCTTACTCTCTCTCCCAGTTTTGCATGCAAAATGTGTGACTATTTGTACATTTTTCAGGGAGACAAGTTTAGCATTCTCATAAAATTTTTAAAAGAGATAGGTGACTTCCCACTTCCCAGCTTAAAGTTATCAGCTTGTCTTTTAGAGGTAACCAGTGAGAACAAGTTAGTTATTTTCCAAGGCTGTTTTTGTTTGGTAATAGAAGACTTTTTGTTGTGGTCCTCATTCAGAATTATTCCTTAGAGAATCCCCTTTAGAACTTTTGAAACATAAACTTGGCTGTATCTACTTTATGCTTAATACTGAGTCAGAATCTTTGGAATTGGAGTCCGGGCATGTGTATGTGTTTAGATAGCTTCCCTGATGATCCTGATTCATAGCTCAGGTTAAGAACTTCACCTTATGAGGTTGGATGGAAGATACAAGGATAGTAGTTCCTTGGACAAAGCATCAGCCGAGAAATTCTGAATTCCTCTTAGCTCTGAAATGTCAGTTCTTTGCAGTTAGCAGTTTGAGCAGATCATATTATTAAATGAAATAACCCCATTGAAGGCAGGCTGCTTTGTTTTAGACAGTTATTCTACATTTTAGTCCCAACACTGAATTAAATAATTGTCCTTGGATAATAACTGGGGATTTTAAGCACTCTGGAAAGAGATAGTGGCAGTAGACCTCTTAGGATGATAAAGAATAGTCATCATAGGCAGCTGACTCCTGACTCTGAGTCCTTTATTCATACATCTCAAGTAGGATACCATAGCTAGTTTCCAAAGGCTGCTTGCCCCTAGATTCTTGTCAAAATTATGTCCCAGATGTGAAGCAACTTGCTATTCCTGTTTAGATGTTCACTTAGTGTCTTCGTTTGTGGAGCTTTGGACTATTGGGGCTGATGGTATGGGAAGGACATACAGAAGTAGAAGTAAAGGTCCTTGCCCTGAAAAGTTATTTTGAAAGATAGGACCTATAATTTATAACAAATGAACACTTACAAAAGAGCAACACACAGTGTAATGTGCTTAATATCACAGTGGGGTACAGATTGTTTTTCCTGACTTTTCTCTTGTCCAACGTCTATGAGACTACAATGGTTAAGGAGTGGGGATGCCCCCCACCAATGTGAGAATGAGATGTGTATGTGTAGCACTTTTACGGGGTTGCCTTGTCTACCTTTGGTTGGATGGGGGCATCTGTGGCCTAAATGAGCATTCAGGCTTTTCTCCTGCTGCAAGGTGAGAGTAATTCAGAGCTAATGAAAGAGAAGAGGGAGCACTTTGATCCAAAGACTTTGAATTTAGACTTACCTACTCTTAGTAATGGGGTACTTCTCTAACTATCACTTTGTTAACCTGTTACAAACCCCAGCCTTAGAGACAGGTCACTGGGGTGTTTATTCTGGTTCTTAGCCTGCTGATTGTTTCTCCATTCTCCCCCTGTGCTAGTTTGCTTCCCCCAGAAGAGTAACGAGGTGGGCTTATTATCCACAGGTAGGACATGAGTAATTGTAATTTGACAAGCCAGGGTTTCAGCATCCTTCAGTTTTTAGAGCAAGATCCCTTCAGAGAAGTTCAGCAGGAAGAAGCCAGGAGAATATATAATGGCAAAGAGCTCTTCCTTCAAATTTTTGAAAAACCTTACTTCCCATCTTTTCTTTCCAAACCTTCTCTCCCCTTCTTACTAGAAGGTGTATTGGTAGTATATACACGGTACTATCGTTGTGTCTATATCACAAGTCCTGCAAAGAATAAATGGACTTGAGTAACCTTTGCTGAGGCTTTAAGTTTTGTTTGGGGAGAAATAAGTAAAGACATTAGCATTTAATCTACTGGTGTAAGCTGGATGTGGTGACATATGCCAGTAGTCCTAGCTACTTGGGAAGCTGAGGTGGGAGGGTCACTTGAGCCCAGGAGTTTGAGACCAGGCTGGACAACCTAATGAGACCGTGTGTGTGTGTGTGTGTGTGTGTGTATAAAAGAAAAAGAAAAAATGTATAAAATGGGGAAAGCAGAATTATTATCTATTCTGTTTTCTTATCTTTGCTTCAAAACTGAACGTCCAACACAGATTTTAAAATGGAATCTAAAGCATATTTAGAGAACCTGTTTTTGTTCTTATCTCCTAATTCCCAAATTGGAATTTAGCTCTTACTTATTATCTGTATAATCTTTTATTTGGTAAGGGGATGGTTTTACATTGAGTTGGAAAGTAGAATAAGAAAAGCCTTTAAAAACATGCATTGCTCTAGGGATCTGCCCTTTATCATTGCCTCTGGTTTTCGTTTTTTTGTTCATTTCCCAAGAAGTTAGGGATACATTATATTTGTACTCTTAAACTGAATGGTTGAGTATCCCATTGAGGATCTGGGTAATCCTCTTTGCAACTCACTTTTGATCTTCAGAGGCATTGACATTTTGAAGAAACATATGATATAGTATGATACAGCTTTTTGGAAATAAGCCCATCTTCTGGATTTTTTGGGAGCAGGAAACCTGAGTTCCAGAGAAACCCATTGCTGCTTGGAATGGCCAGTAGGCAAGGGAAAGTGTCTAGTAATTGAGAGAATTTTATCTGGGTTATGTAGTCTTATGCTCATTCCCTTGTCTTTGCCAAGCCCAGAAGCCATGCTGTGTTCATTGCCAAGAAATCTGATAGATTTACCCAGCTTTTCTTGTACGTATTTTGACTTGTTTGTGTTTTACAGTATTTTTATTTTGACAGTATATAATCATTGAGTCAGGGTGCAACATTGGCAGGATAGAACTCTGACTCCCCCTTGAGGTGACACAGATGTCAGGTATGTGTCCAGGGATTTAATTTAGACTCATACCGTTCAGAAGACTGTCTCTAGTAAGATCTCTGTGCTGACTGACAGGCTCTGGTAGGCTCTGTGTGTTGACTGACTGATAGACTAGTAGAGTCTATGTCAACTGACTGACTGACTGACTCTAGTGGTATCTGTATACTGATAGACAACTTATATTAGTGTCTGTATGCTGACTAACTGATAGGCTAGCAGGAACTACTGACTGACAGATTCTTGTAGAATCTGTGTGATTGACTGATTGACAGACTCTAGTCTTGTCTATGTGCTGATAGTTTACCTGTTTTTTGATTATGTCGATTGGTAGTATATGCATATTATTGTAATCCTCTGTCTATAGCACATGTCTTACAAAGAAAGAAACTAAACACTCCATGTGTTTTCTTTATGGAGAAGTGCTATATGCTATGATTTTTACTAGACATTTCTTGTCCAGTAGTGGACAAATTCTATCACTTTGTAAAAGAGAAAGGTTGTACATCACTTGCATGGTATTTTGTGAATGAGCTAAGAGAATGTCTGTTCAGAGCCTGAAGTTGTTACCTCCAGTCCCCTGCTTTGTGGCAGGACTTCACTTTTGCCATCCATTTCTAAACCCTCTGTGTCCTCTGCTTACCCTGTTAAGGAATGTAATATTTTATTGGATAGTGCTGCTGTTTTTAGTCTGCCACTCATTTGGGTTTTCGTCCTAATCTGATAACTAAAAATGCAAAGGAAATTTTGCATTCACATTTGATTTTAAGAGTTTGCAAAAGTATTCTTTCCAGTAAGCCTTTCCTCGGATGTCTGTGACCAATATTTACCTACTTGATGTTTTTGTATCTGAATTGCTTATGTCCTTTTTTTTTTTTTTATCATGTTGGAATATCAAGATCAACTCATTCTGGTATGGTGATGGTTTTGCTGTGACAAAAGCAAAGGCCTGATCACAAGTGGTGCCCTTTGGAAGGGGATGGAGTGGGAACTGAACACCACTGAGGTGAATGGGAAAGAGGCTTGATTGGGAAGCCTAGGGGTAGAGTTCTGCAGATTCCCTAGGCTCCTCTGTGTTGGAAGTAGGAACGTAAGTCTTTAATCTGGTGACACAGATAACAAAATATGCTACTCAAATCCACTTAAGGTATAAATAACTGTTATTTGAAATGTGTTTTTGTGTGTGTGTGTGACATGTGTGTGTGAAGAACGGGTAAATAAAATTCTTGAGTAACTCGAACCCATCAGAAGACTTCTGGGTGTTTTGTTTTGCATTTTTGGTTGTGTTCCGCACTCACCCCCCACCCTTAAAGCTTTGCCTCATGCTGCACAGTGACTGAGACCCAGGCATGTCGACATAAGTTCTCAGTGTAATTGGAGTCTGTGGTGTAGGCCTGAGCCTCTTCTGCCACCTTCTGGGGAAGATGGGGAAGACATTACGGAAAGCACGTGAACTTCAGTAGCTGTGTGTACCTGTTGGTGCCTGTACAATAATTTTTGTAAAATTACATTTGACTGCACTGTGCCAAGACTCCCGTTAACAACATGTAACTCTCATTATCAATTATAAAGAAAACCTTTAGAGATCTTTTATAATTTAGTGGAATGTTGCTCCTAAAATATGATCTGCCTATTTCTAAAGAGATTACAGCCAGTGGTATATAATGGCCTTTAACTTTTTCTGGGTCAGGAAATACAGGTGGGATTGTTTTTACCAATCCCATGCCTTATTCCTTATTCCTTGTTACCCTAACAAAGACCATGAGCTCATTAGAAATGCGGAATCCCTGGCCCCATCCCAGACCTCCTACTGAATCAGGATCTTCATTTTAACAGGTCCACCAGGTGATTCATATGCACATTTTACATTTGAGAAACACTGTTTTAGGGGAAGAATTTCTCACAGGGTAAAACATTAGATCCCAGTTTATGGGAAGACGTTGATCTGCTCTGATGACTGATTTCAGAATGGACTGGGATAACTACAACAGTAGAGACTCTCCTCAGGGGCTGAGTAGCTCCTGGCTACAGCAACACTTTCTTGGCATGGTTCTTTGGCTGATGCAGCCTACATACTCTCCCTTTACCAGAGGGGTCCCAAATGCCTCTGCTTCATATCTTTGGGTGTGTAGTTTATCGTCCAGATCTGAAAGGAGCACCTGGTCAGTATAGTCACCAGGTCAGCTTCTCAAGGAAGGAAGCCCATGACTATGCCATTAGAGTTTGACTGACTACCCACAGTCAAGGTGTGTAAAGAGGAAGGCTCTGTGGGCACAAATTCTGTCAGGAAGTTTTTTGACTTCTAAACAGGTGGAAGGAGACATTTCCTTCCATGGTGCTATCACCATGGTGTGGTCTCTAAGAAAGTTGTGACTGTGACTTTGAGAACAGCAGTCTTCTACTTGCTAGTTGTAACAAGCACACAAGTGTGTTCATGCATGTGTGTGGATGTGGGGAAGAGGTGGGTGGGGAAGAGGGGAGAGTGAAGTGAGATTCTGTTCTGCCGCTTGGCGGTGGTGTAATGGCTTTGTATCTCTTTCTCTCTGGCCCCTAGGCAGCACAGACCATGCTGGCTGCACGCAGACGGCCCTCTGCAGCGTCCCTCACATTGCTCTCCTGATGATGTGGAGGCTCAGGCCACACCTCTCCGAGGGACTGGGATCTACTGAAAAGCTTGGGATGTCAGCTCCACAGAGGCTAGAACAGGAAGTTAAGTTTGGGACTGGACATTTGAGGCCACCAAAATGAGGCCCTGGAAACAATGGCACCACATTTCTTCCCTTCATGCCTAATGGGAATATCAGCTACATGGAAACACTTGACTTCCCTGTGCCTCAAGATATTTGACAGCCTGAACTGATTATTTTTATCATCTCTTTGCTGGGTTTGGCCTGAGTTGGCCAATCTCATTCTGTCTAGGTATTTAACATCCTACCTGTGACTGTCTGCATCTCTTTCTGGCTATTCTTTGCCTCAAATTCAATTGCACCTCTTCAGTTTTAGTTTCCAAGTGAGAAGGCTGAACTCCAGAAAGTCTTTTCTGTGTAGCAAGAGCTAGTCTCTGCATTCGTTCCAGGCAAGCAGACTAGAGTCCAACATACACATGCTAGCAATTACCATTTGCCACCTTGGAAATGAGAAAAGACACCAGGTAAATGGAGGGAATCTGAGAAATTCAGTCCCTGAAACATCTCTTCTGCAGTAACAGAAGAGCATTGTCAGTAGCAACCTTTTCATTTAGAGAAGTTTTTCTTGGTCCAGGCCCTTCAGGGCAGGATCTGAATGTGAGATGCCCCAAAATGGGTACCCATCTTCTAAGTTCTCTTTTGTAGCTACTGTATTTTCTACTTGATGTATTTGCCTCTCATAGCTAAGATGGCTCTTGATATAGTTCCCCTGAGTGGGTGGAAATGTGGAATAGAGAGAAAATTAGGGTGGCATTTGCAACACATGAAGAAGTAAAAAAAGCTTCTTGGCTTTTTTTGAAGTTTTTTGGCTTCAAAACAGGTGGAAGGAGACTTGCTTTTCTATGCAGTCTGTCACCATGATGTGGTTTCTAAGAAAGTTGTGGCTGTGACTTCGAGAGCAGTCTTCTGATGCCTGTCTCTTGGCTAGCTGTCACTATTGTGGTCAACTGGCCTCTCATGTAAGACTTTAGGGGAGCAGGGAAGAACCAATGCATTAGTCATTTGGCTTCCCTTACAGATAAGCCAGACTGCTCTTCACTAGGTCAGTGATTGTCACATGTACAAATATGTCTTTGTGAATGTGATTTTAACATGTCACTACTCCTGAAGGAGAGTTTGAAATCCCTGAAGGATATTATATCTTAGACACAAACTGTTTTGTTTTGTTTTTTAAGAATAGTATGTTTTTTTATTTGTTTTTGTTTCCTTTTCACTCAAATGCCCGCTTGCTGGGCAAAAGGGTGAGTAGCAAGAAAAATAATGAAATGTGCTCTTCCCAAATGGTTCTTTTATACTGTGGATGATACAGAACTCTGTTACCTACAGTGTGATGATCTGGACTGCAGGCAGTTCAGCATTCAGACACTAGGAGCTTATTTTATATGCACAAAGCTGCCTTCAGAAAGGCTCCTTACTCTGCTCTGTAGCAGGTGATTTTCACCTGGCTGCTTGTAGCATGCTGTACTGTAATGATTTTGTTCTTTTTGTGATGTGGATTCCTCTCTGCATCTAAGGCTGTTTTTTGATGATCAGACAGTGTTTTTATTTAGTTATTTATTCTATCCATGTAAGGCATTTTTGAGTCTTCATGTCACTGTTTGCATGTATTTAATCAGAATGTCATGTAATTTATCTTGTCAGGTTTTGTTTTGGTAGAAATTTAGGTAGCTTGAGCTTTTAAGTCTAATGTCATAGTATTATCTTAAGTTAAATTTCCAGATTATGGATATCTGTCTTCTATAAAAGGATAAGAACAATGTTAAGGGACAGTGGTTTTTTTGGAATACTTTTTCCTCGTCGATTTTTATTATAAGTATAAACCAAGAGATGCATTTCTCTGGAGAAAAGTTTATCTCCTGGATTAATAAAATCATGCTAAAATATGCGAGTAATATGTATTGCTTTTGTAATAAGAAAATACAATAAAAGTTATTTTTAATTAAAAAATGAGATTAATTTTTAAGATCACACACAAAAGAAGATGCATTTGTTACGTTATACATACACAAAATATTAATAACATTGTCCAAAATGTGTTTGAGACTAGCTTATTTAATATGATTCTCAAATTATTAGATTGTATAAATATTTCCAACTAGTGGTTTCAACCAGTGACTCCTGACTTTTTCAAATTCCACTGACACTTCAATGTGATAGCAGTGAGATCGTGACTGCCATGTGTTAGCGATATTCTAGAGTTTTATTCATTTATTTAACAATATTTAATGATTCCCCTCTGGTTACTGGGCAATGACTAAAACAAAATCCTTGCCCTTTTTCTAGAGTTTATTACTAGAAATGAAAAGGTTAACAACAGTTTAATAGTAAGTGCACCACACATCGCATGGAGCAAACTCATGATGAGTAACTTAAAGGAGTGGTTAGAACTTGGACTTATTTAGCATCTTAACAAAAGAAGACACTTTTGTAGAGAAGTGACGAGACAAAGGAAAAGGATTTTAAGTTTCCAGAGCTGCAAATTTTGGAATGGCAAGAACATGAAGGAACTAATGGAGAAGGTTTGTGTAGGTCCTTCTTGGCACTGACTACTTCATGGCCATAAGACTCCCATGAGAGAGGGGACTTATGGCAGAACTTATTTCTCAGAAGTTTCTGCTTTTATTTTTCCATTTTTTATTTTATTTTAAAGGCATGGGAGACAATTCAGGATTAGGTATGCAAGTGGGTAAAGTTTGGGCCTCCCTTTGGCCCCCACTTCTCTGGGTAGATGTTTCTGCTTTTAGTCATTTTTAAAAACTCCAGAAAGGCTTTCTTCTGTATCAGTTGAATCTCATTTCCCTTAGCTCAAAATAATTCTTATACCAAAAAGGCATATTTTGGGATGACATATATTCTGCTCCCCTATATAACTTAAAGGGAGAGTGTTTTTCATTCTTCAAGTCTGATCTTGCCATAGCACAGTCCTATCCAAACTGATAATTGAAGCTTATTCTATAGTGTTTCATGCACAATTTGACCTTTAAGACATTTATATTCTTTTTCTTTTTTTGAGTTGGAGACTCACTCTGTCGCCCAGACTGGAGTGCAGTGGCCACTCCCGGCCACCGCAGCCTCGACCTGCTGGGCTCTGGCGATCCTTCCGCCTCAGCCTTCCAAGTAGCCGAAACTACAGGTGTGTGCTATCACACCCGGCTGATTTTTTTATTTATTGTAGAGATCAGGTCTCGCTGCCCAGGCGGGTCTGGAACCCGCGGGCTCAGGCAATCCACTCACCTCAGCCTCCCAAAGGCGCAGGATTACAGGCTGAGCCACCGAGCCCGGCTTATATTCTTTTTAAAATTTATATTCTCATGGGATCTTCGTGAAGTCTACTTTTCTGGCCCAAGTTTTTATTTTTATTTTTGTGAGGGATTCAAGAAACATCAACTCAATATGTAAAAAATAATTGGAAAAGCAATTTAAATCTTTTCTGAATTATTTTGAAGAAGATCAAAGGGAATCCAGTCATGACATACGGTAGAACTTAAAATAGTCTTTCCCCAATTCTCTTAAAAGCTCACATATGCTACCATGTGTGTGCCCATTTTATAACTCCCCTCGAATCTTCCCCAGTTGGGCATTGCTGACTTTTGCATTTATACCCTCCCTTCTTCTCTTCTGATCTCTTCCTTTAATTATTGTCTGCCCATTTTCTTTGTAAAAGCAATCAAACCAGTCTGAATGCAACTTCCTTATTACCCCTGTTCTTCAGGAAACAATCTGGAATAGATCAAATTGTCCTTAATGTCTAAGATGACAGAAAAGCCTGTACATTCTTGATAATTAAATTATCTAACTTTGGATACTTGCAATAAAACATATATGCCTATAATGTTTTTTATCTGTAATTCTAAAATCTAAAAAGCTTTGAAATGGTTTTTTTCTAACTTATTTTTGCAACTTATTTGACAGAAAAACACAGCTTGAACTTTGTGATGATATTTATTGTTAAATATCCCACTTAGTGTGAGTATTTTTGTATTCATAGGTAATAGTAAGACAATAGTATAAGCAATGTGGTAGCTTTCTAAAGTCCTAATAGTTCTGATCTGAAGTAAACCATTGAAATAAAGAATTATTTGCAATTATTTCCTGTAATATGTGTTCTACTTTATGTTTATATTTATGTAGGATCAAATTAGGTTTTCTTTCCCTCCTTAAAAATTTATTGTACACACATTATGTACATATATCTATAGCTATATAAGACATTGAAGAATGTATATTAGTCAATAAGAATATGTGATATGTTAAGAAAAATTCAAAACTTAGAACTAGGTACCAAAAAAAAGATCACTGGAAAAAATTTTCAATGGGCATTTTCTTGCAGACCCTCTGGAGATTATCAGTTCTACAGCAGTATGCAACTCTGATTGACTTTCTATTAATTAGGCTCTTTTATAACTCTAAGAATATAGGTTAATTTGTAGCAAAGGAATAATAATGTGAATGATCCTTATCTGAGAACGATGCAAATGCTTCCTGATCATTGTATAGTAAACGAAATTTGTCCATTTTGTTTTCATTATTTCCATCAGGTAGCAGTTTCAAATATTACAGTTCGTTGCTCTATAGGATATTCACTAGTTTTGCATTTATTAAAAAGGTCATTTCAGAATGCTTTTGACTGTCTATTTAAATTTTTATTCCTCAAATTCTTTGAACCAGCTGTAGCATCATAATGGTTCCTCATTAATGAGTTGAAGAAAATTTTTGATGTATATTTATTTTATATTTACAAGTGTCATGTTTTAAACTTTTTAAAAATCATGTTTATACTATGCAAGTTCCATATTAGTTTAGAAAAGATAAGATTTTAAAAGCATAAAGCAGCATACAATAAATGATAAAGGGATTTTGGGGGCTGGGGTAGAATTTCTGGATGATGGTTTTTTTTCTGTTTATTTCCGCATTACTTTCATTCATTTATTTTAGCAGGTGACTGCTTTGCGATATGGAGCACAATGGAAGGGAATACGAATATTAATAAGGCACAAATGCTGTCTTAGAGTTAACAGTTTTAGTGTGGGCATAAGAAAGAGGGAAAAACTTTACCCTATTACATTTAGTGGTTGGGATCTGCAAATTAAATTAATAAAAGATTAACAGGAGCCAAAACAGTTTATTTACATGTGCAATAGGAATACAAGTGGGATAACTCAGTGATTAATTCAAAAGGGTGGTTAGAATGGGGGCTCAATAGGGGAAGGAGAGGAGGAGAAAGGAAAACAGATGACTTTTTGGAAAGATAAATGTTTTTTTCAGGAGAACAAATGGGAGATTTAAAAGTTTGTAATAATGTTTGTATATGTATACATGTGAATGGTTTTTCTATCTCCTTCAAGGTCATAAAACTTCCCTGGAGAAGGAATTGGGGATAAGTTTTACTTCAAACTCTCCCTTCTGGGAGTAGATCTGCCCTGAAGAAGAATGTATAGCAACCTTATTTCCCAGAAATTGCTGCCTCTAGTCAGATAAGGGAATCCCAAGAAAACTTTCCTCACCGCCCCCATCACTGAATCTCATCTTCAGCTTAAAATAATTTTTATGCCAAAGTAGCACATTTTGGTGTGGCATATTCTGATTCCCTTTAGGAGAAAGCCATAGATAAATCATTATAAAGTAATAACAATGAGTGGGGAAAGAATAACTTTTGAGATCTTACTATGTGTCCTTAGAAACCTTATACTTATTTTATTAAAACCTGAAAATGTGTAAAAATTTTACCCCAATTTTATAATTAGAACACAGAGAACCAATTAAGGGCTATAATAGTCATGACTACAATGCTATGAAAACCCCCAAAGCAATTTCACCTGTTTAGTCCCTGAGACCAAAACATTCCCCTCACCTCTCCACTCATTTGGTTAACTTTGAATCCAGGCCAAATCCTGCCCTAGGAAGAGCTACCAAGCGGGAAACCTGATACAGCCTGGAAAATGAGGACAATGTGTCACTGCAGGACTTTGGAGTTCTCAGGGTTGGAAACTGACGACCAGCTCCTCACTGGGAAGCCATCCGGAGAGAGAGAGACAAGGATAGTTAACTTTTTTGAGCTTTTGGTCTTCAGTGCTGCTGACAACCTTTGGATATCCGGTATTTGGGAAAGGGGAACGAGGTAGCATTCAGAATTGAGTCTTGCCTGGCAAAGCTCCAGGGATTGGCACCCTGTTCTCTTCCCCCAATGCTGAAGAGAGTTGCAGAAGGTGGACTGTAAACACTGGCAAATATTGACAGAAGTCAAGGTTATGGCAAGACCATTTGACTCACGTTGTTGGAGAAGGATAAACCTGCAGTTCAAAAATACTGGTCAACTAGATTTGTATTCCCAGAAACCAGGAAATTCCTGAAACTGAGTTTTAAAACTGGCAGTTCTTTTGCCATCTCTATGTATTTGTGCAAAATCCCTCCCTATACCAACTTCCTCACTGCTATTCTTATTTCCGTTGCAGTTTTTAAAAATTTTTTTACATTGTCTCCAAGGAAGGAAAATCATTCTTCTCTAGGAGGAAGTCGGTTGGTCTGACCTTAAGCAGTGTTAGAAGATCTATTTTGATTCAAATCAGGTGTCTGGGCTGGGTTAATTCCAGCCTGGGTCAAGTAATTGATCACCAGATGTTTTTTCAGGTTGTGTACTGTCTTGTGGTTGTGTGGTTGGGTTCTGCTTCAGAAGGTACGTATGTGTTTCTTAAAATCAGCTTACCAGGCATTTGATACGAGTTTGTGGATTATGAGGAATTCTGCTTAGAGTCTTAATGAGATTTATATTTATGATATTTATTTCTTTTGTTGAAAAATCCAAAATTACTAGTGCTCTGTACTCAGTAGGAGCTTAGTAAATGTTTAATGGTGATCCTGCTCTCTGAAGTGGCTGGTTACTGTTTACTTTCTCCTTTCTGTCCTGGAAACAAAAGAAGTAACAATTTCAAAATTCTGAGACATCTTACCTGTAAACTCCAGGATTGCTATTTGGGAAGGGGATTGTTGGCTTAGAAGTGGATAACCTGTGGTTGAGTTTGAGTGAAATTTGAGTGAAATTCCTTTTGGAAATAAAACTTTGGAACTTCTTGAGAAGGGAGGGCCATGGATGTATACAGACATGGAACAGTACAGGAATCAGGATCAATAATCCAGGAAAAAGACACTTGGAAGGGGGAACAGAATATGATATGTCAAGTGAATCTGTTTTCTTTTTCCTTCCAGCAGAGAACTGTCCAGAACTTCCCCCAGTGGACAATAGTATATTTGTTGCAAAGGAGGTGGAAGGACAGATTTTTGGGACTTACATTTGCATCGAAGGCTACCACCCGGTAGGAGAAAAAAAACTTTTTTGCAATGCCTCTAAGGAGTGGAATGCCGCCCCCATTAAGTGCCGCTGTAAGTTGGACCTTTCCACTTCTTTGTCCATATTATTATCCTGCCCTATTCTTTCCCATCCTGCTTCCTGTAGACTGTGGTCAAATTTTATTTTTTAAAATTTTCAATTTCTAGGATTCCACTTTTAAAGCACACTTATGGTGGAACTTCTCTTAGAAGGCACGTGATCAGTTCTTGATCAGTGTTAATTTAGTTGAATTAACAGAATCAATTACTCCTACAAGAAGGAAAACATTTCTTTCATATATAAAACTACTTTTTGCTGTAATTTGTTTAATTTCATACTGCCATACAATTTTTGTATTATGGAAAACTTAAAATATATACAAAAGACAGAAGAGTCAAATTAACTCATATATCCATCACACAGCTTCAGTAATCAACATATGACTAATCTTGTTTCATGTATAGCCTTATTTGATTATTTTGAAGCAAGTGCATTATACCATTTTATTTCACCCATGGTATATCTTTTGAACTGGGAAACATTTATGCTCTCTGTTTACAGATGTGATAACTTAGATCCAAGTGAGTCAGTTAAGGTCACAAAACATTATTAGTGGTGTCCTTGTATAGATGGAGAATTAATAGTCCATATCTTTCTTACTATTACTATTTTTAAGAATAGCTGCATTAGTTCTCTGTATAACTAGAGTAAAGCACACAAATATTATTCTTCATCCATATGGCCAAATTTACATCTCTCTTCTTTCTCTCCTGTTTTTCTACAGCATGGCAAAAAAACAAAACAAAACAAAGTAAAAAAAAAAAACGAGGAGTAAGTGTATATTTGGCTGGATGAAAGGGAAGGATAGACTTATCACTGGTGTTTCAATCTCATTAGGGTGAAGAATGTTGAGCCATGCTTAACATAACCATACAATAAACACACTACTGGTAATTTCCAGCTATGTGCTTTTTTATTTTAGTAGATTTTTAGTAGACTTAATTGCCAGTTCATGTAATTCTTGTGCATGACTAAGATCTTTTCTGTGGTCCTTAAGTTATCCTCTTTTCTCATCGTGCCTTGATATGGTTTAAGATCATATATCTGGCTCTATTAAAAATGTGCAGTTTTAGCTCTAACTTCCTGTTTTCTCACCGAAGACTGAGGAGGTCCAACCTTTGCTATGGCAGGTTTCAGCTTTGCCTAAATCACTGCTTATTTCTTCTTTAGTAGGCCACTGTCCTGACCCTGTGCTAGTGAATGGCGAGTTCAACTCTTCAGGACCTGTGAATATAAGTGACAAAATCACGTTTAAGTGCAATGACCACTACATCCTCAAGGGCAGCTATTGGAGCCAGTGTCTAGAAGACCACACCTGGGCACCTCCCTTTCCCGTCTGCAAAAGTAGTAAGTACCAAGAGAAACCATCAGGAGTTCCAAAGACACTGATTAGTAGTGTCACCCTAGGCATTTGTCACATCGTTGTAATGCTTTTTTCTCTCTCTTTTTTGATATCTGGGAATGGTTTAGGACCTAGCACAGATAGCCAGGAAACAAGTGGAGCTCACACAACCAAACCTTAGCTTAACTCCAATGAAATGAACAGCATCCAAACAAGACCTTTTTCTTCTCTCAATTCCTGTCGTACTAGATCTAATGCAGTGTGGCATTGACTATTTTTTATTTTGAGCTAGTGTTTTAAAGTTCGTATTTGAAAAAAAACACAAAAAACAGGAACAACACCATAACTCGTCCACTGCAAAATTATCTACAAGAGGTGAAAGTCCCTCTTTATGTCACTAAAACCCATATCTTTCAGAGGTAATCAGTTAAGGTGTTTGTTTCATGACTTTTAAAAGTATTTATGCAGACATTTAAAACAAACACAAATAAAATGTTTAAATAGGTATTAAATAAATATTTTATATGTATATATATATATTTACTTAGAAAAATGGGACCATATTTTTAAATTGCTTTATTTATATAAAAATATACATAGATTTTTTTCCAGACTGATACATATAGCTCTACTGCCTGCTTTTTAATAATTGCATATGGATATGCCATAATTTATTACCCATCATTCATATTGATGGTCACTAATTTTGTTTCCATATTTTTGCTATTAGGAACAATGATAAAATGAATGTTTTAGATCACATATATATCCTCACCTCTATGTTATTATTTCTATAAGATAGATTCCTAGAATAATTGTTGGCTCACAAGATGTTACTATTTGCAGATGATAAAAGATCCGAGAATTCTACTAAAAATTTTAATACATAAGTGGATATAAACCAGATATTTAAAAGTTAATATTAATAGCTAGTTAATATTAATAATTATTATTGAAATATTGAAATGTAAAAATAATTCCATTCACAAGATCTATATGAAAATTTACCAAAGGACATAAAACAAAACATAAATAAAAGAAAAAATCATGCCTTAATCTGGGATGGGCAAATTTAGTATTACAATGTATTTCCACCAGACTTTTAAATTTAAAAAATATGAAACAAACCATTAATTTAAAAATATTAATTGGAAAGGTACACATTTAACATTGCAAATATTTTTGGGAAAATGATGATTAATGTATATATTTGGCTGGAAAAAGGACAAATAAAGGGGAAGGAACACTTGCCTTCTTAGATGGTAAAATGTATCACAAAGTTACTATAAGCAAATGAGTATTAAAATGGCAAATTATAGGTGATGTAATTAGTGTGCCATTAAAATAACAAAGTATAAATACAGATAAGTAGGACAGTTTATTTTAAATCAGAAGGAAAAGTATTCAGTGGTAATGGGTGACTATTTATTTAAAAGAAGACAGGCCTCTAGCTCACATCATATTGAAAATATATTCCAAGTGGAATTAAATATATAACTATAAAAAGCAAAATTATTAAAATGTTAAAAGAAAACATGAGATAATATATTTATTATCTTGAAGTGAAAAAAGTCTCCTTTGTCAGTAACATAAAATTCAGAAATCATGAAGGAAGAAAATGGACAGATTTAAATAAAAATTTCTACATACCAACAAAAATAATAAAAATTAAAAGATAACAGACTTGGAGAAAACATTTGCAACATATTTGATGGTTAAAGACTTCATATTTTTAATATACAAGGAGCCCCCAGAAATTACTAAGGAAAAGACCACCCCAAAATGGCAAAGTTGCGTAAGGAGAGACAATTCCAAAATGACCCCAAAAAACATTTCTATTTCCCAATTTTATTAAAGGATATCGGACGTTACTAGTAATTACAGAACTGGAAAGTAAAATTAGATACAAATCTTTTACTGATCAGATTAGCTAAAAATGAAAAGAGTAATTCAACCAATATCATTTAAGATGAGTCTTAAACATCAGTGAGACATTTATGTCAGTAAGAGCATAAAGTGATAATCACTCTTTGGATGCATTTTGGTGGTAGCTACTAAAATAAAAGCTAGGCATAGTGATGTGTACCTATAGTATAGCTACTTGGGGGGCTGAGGCAGGAGAATTACTTGAGCTAGGAGTTTGAGGCCAGTGTGGGCAACATAGCAAGCTCCTGTCTCTAAAAAATAATAATAAAACAAAGAAATAAAACAATAAGATAGGGTTTAAAAGCACAAACTACATATGCTCTTATATGAGAAAATTTGGGGTTACTTAAAACATGCATATGCGCTATATTAAGTTACAAGCATGTAATATCATTAGCTTGACAGAGACTTAAAGTATTTATTTCTGTCAAACTTTTCTGTTTTACTTTCTTATAATTCAGTAGTTCCTGTCCTAACTCCCAACCACGGGATCCTTGTCTTTTTGTGTTGCTTCATCACCTAAATCTAGGTTGAGCTTCCTAGGTCCCTAAACTAAATCATATTCTTCTCAGTTCAGATTCAAGATTCACACCATCTCCTTCAGTTCAAAATTGTATTCATAAAAGTCACCAGAACTCTGAAATTCCCCAATCAACTCATAGACATTCCTTTTGTTTTCTTCTATTTAGTCTAAGAGCCTTAGACTAAATAAGAGCTTTAAAAAATTATTTACAGTGTATTAACTGCTCAAGCAATATATCTTTGTTGTAGAAAAATATAGAAAATAAAGAAGAAAACTATTACCTACAAGCCTACCACCCAAGGATAATGAGTACTTTGATGTATAACTTTCCAGACTTTTTTCTGTGCATATGTTTGTGTAACTGTGTTTTACAAACATACTATTATACATGCTCTTTTTCAATTTTCTATTTTTACCCAACCACTGAGTAAAGGCTCTTTCCCATGGACAAAATATGATTTTGACAAGATGAATGTGAATGGAGAACATGTTCCCAGATCCCACATGTGATGCTCTGAAGATGACAGGTGCTGGCATAGACAGTTACATTTAGTTGTGCTGCTTGTTGAGCATTCTTGTCTCTCTCAGCTGTCACTCTTACACTCCTTTCAGGAGACTGTGGCCCTCCTGGGAATCCAGCTCATGGCTATTTTGAAGGAAATGATTTCACCTTGGGATCTATTATTAGTTATTACTGCAAAGAGAGGTAAGTGCACACAGCTTCAAATGTGAGATCCTGCCCCTTGGCAGATTGTTTTGGAGAGTGAACCAGTCTGGGCCCATCTGGTCCTTTGATTTCCTACTGCTGCAGGATTCTGAGCTCATTCTGCTTTGGGGAACTGCTTTAGCCTACTGTTAACTTTCCCCAATCCCTGGAACACAGAATGATCCTGTTAAAGTATCCTATTTATTATAATGGGAGTATCACTTTTTCCTCTTAGTTAAGACAAAATATTTAAAATGTATGTTTTCCTAAAGAATCATAGAACAAAAAACCAAAAAAGAACAAAACAGATAGCAGAAATACAAAGACTTAAGAGTATCTACTCTTAAAGCATCCTGATTAAAGTGCAACCTTAATTTGGGCTGCCTGGCCACCCACCTTACTGATCTCTTAACTTTCTCTTTCTCTTGCTTCAATCCTATTAACTCAGAATCCTATGGCTTCACTGGTGTTTCAATCTCATTATATGCTTTCAACGGACTTTACAGTCAACTCTCAAGTTTTTCTGATTAAAAGCTATTGCTCCTTTATAGCCCATTCACTAATACCTAGTAATGTAAATTAGTTTATCTTAATCCTCACCTGCAGGCAAAATTTCTTTTCCTTTGGTTATTTTTAGTTAAATTATATACTGGGTAGCAGTAAAGACAATGCTTTAAAAATACTTTAAAATCACAAGTCTCTTCTAAGGAAATAGACATTTGGCCAAATATCTATATATAAATGTGCTCAGCAAACTATTTTCAGCAACAATCTGGAAATACTTTAAATATCTACTGAAGAGTGTTTACATATTATGGGAGATTTATGAGAAAAATATTACACAGAGAATTTCAGTTATGCTTTGGGAGAATAACAATGTGAGAAACTGCTCATAATATAATGTTAAGTGAATATGTAAAAGATATATGTATATATCTCCAAATGTTATATTTCTTTTCCCTGATTTGTTTGATAGAGATATTTTCATTTTCTCATTAAGTGTACATATATTTCTTCTAAAAGATTTATGGAACATTTCCTTCTATGGTCAAAGAAGACAGACTAGATGAATTTGTTAATAAGGTTTTATTGAAATTAGTAATTATACTATACTAATATAAATATAAATTTTATTTCTCTCCTATGACAATAATTTTACAAAGTATTACTAAGATATAGTAAAACAGAATTGTTTAACTTGTGAGTAAGCTGCAAAATGAAAGGGGCTGTGCCTCATGCTGCCTTTTTTGGATCTTTTGATTGGGAACTGAATCTTCTGTCAAAAAGTAAATGTGTTTGCTTTTTGAAATTTTTGAATTACAATTTTTGAATTACAATTTTTGAATTACAATTTTGAATACAACTTATTTTACAGCAAAAAAATACATATATTTCATGAAAGTCTTTAATATCTATACGTGTTTTTAATTTTTCCTCTGTATTAATGTATATTTTTGTCTTTAATGAATAAATTGCTGATGAAAAGGGGAAAAGATTTATTTAAGGGTGTCTGCCATTTCCTGCTCCTTTTTAGAACATAGATGACAGATGCCTTTTTAGGTTACTGAATAATAAAGTGTTTCTTCTCTCATTCTCCCCACCCAAAAAATTGTATGTGTAAACACTCTGATTCAGAATTTCTCACTTTTATGGATTGACTCATCACTTTGGCCACTCTGCAGGAGAGTGGTTTTACTTTATAACTGCTTTCTACTACCAAGACAACTCAAACATGCCTTAAGGCTCATGGGCAGGGAGGTGACTTCCATCACAGTTTGAAATACTGAAATACAACAACACAAAACCAGCCTCAGCTAACCAGTCCAGAAGGTGGAAAGGCTGAGGCTTGCTCCAACTGCTGTTCAGGTACCACTTAGTGGGCGAGCAGAAGCAGCAGTGCATTGATGGGGAGTGGAGCAGTGCACTTCCGGTCTGTGAGTTGATCCAGAAAGCACCTAAGCCAGCTCTTCAGGATGCGTATGAGAAGGCTCTTGTAAGTAGGAGGCTCTTATCTGTCTTGTTCTTAGCAGCATCTTCTGGGCCTGGCATGGCTCCTAGCACATGCTCAGTGAGTATTGGTTCAGTGTGGGATGTTTTTGAATGGGTTGGCCTTAGCCTGATCATAGAAGGGGCTCAATAAACTATGAACTCACATTAAAAAAATTTTTTTATTTTAAAGATGTGGGGTACAATTCAGGGTTAGGTATACAAAGGTTCATTATGTAGGTACCCTTATTGTTAAGGTATACCCCCCCACCAGCAGTTTCCACTACTGTCAATTCCCCCCCATCCCCTGGCAGTTTCCCACTACTGCCAATTCCTTTCTTATTGTATTATGATAATTGTTCAGGGTCCATTTATGAGTGAGAATATGTGGTACTCAGTTCTTCGTTTCTGTGATAGATCACTCAGTATTGTAGACTCTAAGTCCATAAAGAAGGACAAAATTATGAACTTTGCAGCAACTTGGATGGGCTTTGAACTCACATTTTTATATGTAGAAGTCCCTTTCACCACCATCACCACAAATCCCCCTAAGTCCCTGTTGGAAAGAGTTGTCTCCTGTGCTTTATAGAGCAAGTCCACAAGTTCAATACCTGAGATTTGGAAATACTGCTGTGAAAAAGTCTCTAAAATGTTTCTAGTGCACCCCCCCGCCAAAAAAAAACACGGTACAGATTAATTTCATTGAGATTCATCTTTTAGTTCATATTTATTACTGGAGTAATATTAATAACTATATTCAAGCCAGTAAATGTAGCCAATTCACCACATTGAAGATCTAGATCTTTACTTAAGCTGTCTTGGTTCTGAGCTCTCATTCGGGGACCTAACTACTACTTACTGGCTTCAGAGTATATTGCTGGGTCTCAGTCCTTGCATTTAAAAAAAAACACAACAATTGTTTTGAGTGAGGGTATCACTCTGTCAGCCAGGTTGGAGTGCAGTGGCACAATCATGGCTCACTGCAGTCTTGAGCTCCTGCGTTCAGGAAGTCTTCCCACCTTTGCCTCCTGAGTGGCTGGGATTACAGGCACACGCCACCGTGTCCAGCTAATTTTTTTTTATTTCTTAGAGATGAGGTCTTGCTATGTTGCCCAGGCTGGTCTTGAACCCCTTGGCTCAAGCAATCCTCCTCCTTGACTTTCCAGAATGCTGGGATTATAGATGTGAGCCACCACATTGGCACACTGAAAATTTGTTTAAAATGTTCTTTCTTCAGCTTGCCTTTCAGGAGAGTAAGGACGTTTGCACAGCCACAGAGAACTTTATGCAACGATTAAAGGAAAGTGGCTTGACAATGGAAGGACTAAAATATTATCTGGAGATGAAGAAGGTTGAGTTGAAGACAAAAAATGTTGTAACATTGTAGTAGTACAGACTGGTAATATAAATACATCTATGAATAAATTTTCCTATTGATTCTGAAATTGGTCTCAGATTTATCTCTTATTGAGCTAAAATGCAACTTCATTGTAAACAGCTACAGTTGTACAATGTAGTGCATGTGTGTATGTTAATATTGTATTCAGAATTTGTGTGTTATTATTGTACTCAGAATATGAAAAGGCCAAGTGTGGTGGTTGTCTAAGACCAGAATTAACAACATATTAATGGGAGTGGATAGTGTAATTTTCTGTTTGTAAGGAGAATGGAGATGCTTGGATCTCAGCTAAGAGTGTACCTCATATTTTACTATAAGATGTGAATTATGAGGCAAAAATTAACCAAACTTTATGAGCCAAAAATTAACCTCCCATTTTGGGAAAATAGCCTCAGAACAGTTACATCCTTAAAATGACTCATTGCAACAGAAGTAAAATTAGGACCCACAAATTCTCTCCCTACATTGGATTTGTGAAAGCAGGTTTCCAAATCTCCTGCAGTAAAATTGCTTTCTACCTTTTCGATGAAACCCAGTTCTGCATGGTAGATTTGAGATAGTGCATCTCAAGTGAAAATATTTTCTTCAGAGGATAGAAGAAATAACAATTCTAAGGCTTTCTATCAAGATGTCATACTGAGCTGGCATCACAAGCTTCTCCCACCTCTCACCCTGACCTGCACTTGAAACATAAGAAATCTGAATAACATATAATCAAAATACATAAGACAGCTTGAAATAATTTTAATAATCTCTAGGTGAAGTTACAAAGGAGAATAAGAAATGGACTCTGGAGCAGCCCAGTGTCTACTAGGAGACACAAGACACGTATACACATAACGTGATTTCAGGGTGATTAGAATGGATCAAACATGTTTCTGAGAGCAGTGTGTATGAGAGCTCATGTGAGAGGAGGATCACTTCTGTCTGGGAGAAGGAGGCAGGAACATTGTCAAAGTCACAGTTATTTGAACCTTTAAAAATGAGTGCGATTTACAAACAAAGATTAAGGAGAAGGACGTTCCAAGTGGAAAGAAGATTTGAGAAATGGAATAAGAGAGTATAGCTTTTTAAAAAAAATTATTTATTTATTTATTTATTTATTTATGTATTGAGTTGGGAGTCTCACTCAGTCGCCCAGACTGGAGTGCAGTAGTATGCTCCCGGCCACCGCAGCCTCTACCTGCTGGGCTCCGGCGACCCTTCCGCCTCAGCATTCCAAGTAGCTGGAACTACAGGCGCGCGCTACCACGCCCGGATAATTTTTTGATTTATTGTAGAGATGAGGTCTCACCAAGTTGCCCAGGGGGGGTCTCGAACCCGCGGGCTCAGGCAATTCACTCACCTTAGCCTCCCAAAGCACGGGGTTACAGGCTGAGCCTGGCTGAGAGTATAGCTTTTTAACCAAGTAAATTCATTCTTAGGTTTAATCTTACTGGAGCAAAATGATTTTAATTTGAAGCTGTTATATCATTGGATATATTATCTATCTAGCAAGACCTTATGAACATTTGCAATGTCTAATATTAGAAAAATGTTTAATAATTTATGGCATATCAAGTTCAATGCAGCCTTTTAAAATCTTAAAAATATGATCTTAATTAAAAGTTGTATACCTAACAATAATACTTACAATTGCATTTATGCAAAGCCTTTTTTCTCATGGAAAAGGACTGGACAATGATAGACTCAGTTAGAAACAAGTTTCTAAGAATGATAAAATTATGGTTATTCTCTTGAAGTTGTAATGTAAAATAAAATTTTAATATACTTTTTAAAAATAATCTTTTTTTAAAAGCATTGCACAGAGGCAGAAAAGATGGAAATGTGTAGGGAATTGCACATAGTCTGGATTGCCTTGGATGAAGCTTGGGAAGTGGTAACAGAGAGGTTGGAAAGATAAGTTTAAGCCAGTTTATGGAGAGTTTTTGAATGACCTGTTATAAAATATACTCTTATATTTGGTAGGCGGAGACTATACACTTATTTTTGATGGATAGCTTGTGAAGACGCAAAAGCCTTTCAAGCAAGAAAGTGATAAAGACAACAAAGAAAGATTTCTCTCAAAATACTGTGTAGTATTGGTTGGCAAGAACTGAGACAGAGAAACCAACGCAAGGGCTATTGCAACAACCAGTACAAGAGGCATGTTGACCTAAACTGGTTTGATGGCAGTGGAAATGGAAAGCAGCAGCAGACAGGAGAGACATGGCAAAACTCTTATTCAAAAAGAGTTGTCAACTAATTGAACATTGGAGGGTGAGGGAAATGAGGGGTTCAGAGGTGAGTCTGAAATGGTATTCCTAAGAACCTGGATCAAAGTTGGAGCTGGAAAATGAAGCTTCCTGGCAGCTTCCTTGTAAGATGTGCTGAGTGTGAGGTGTGTGCAAGATGTCCAGTGGGCAACAGAAAATCTACGTCTTGGGTTTAAGAGAACAATCAGTGATAAAGACATAGTATGAGCTAGTCCTCTTATTGGAAACAGTTAAAGCTGTAACAGGAGGTAGAATCATTAAAATTGTGAAAAGAAAACATTTTTTTAAAAGAAGAACTTGAGATATATCTTTATTTAGGAATGAGAAGGGAAAAGAAGTAACAATAAGAAAGAGAAAGTAGTTAAGGGAATCCGGAAAGTTTAGCTTAATGGAAGCCAAAGGAGAAGAGAGCTTCAGAAAGTCAGCAGTGACAAAGGCTACAGGTAGATCATAAGAAATGTGTTAAAGAAATTTTGGATTTGAGCATAAGGGCATGCCTCAGAGGGGTGTGTCAGTAGAAGGGTGGGTAGAAGTCAGACTGGAAAGCACCAAGGGGAGTGATTAATGGGAAACAGTAGACAAGTAGCAAGGGCTATACCTTTGAGAATTTCAGTATCACACTAAAGAAGAAAAATAGAATTTGAGGTTTTGGCAAGATTGAGAGAACATTTCAGGATGAACAATACAATAATAAGATAGGAAAGGACAAAACAATTTCTCCTCTGAATCAGGCGTGATTAGGAGGAAAATTTAATGTTGATGAAACTAATGTAGAATGATTTTTAGTAAAGTGGGAGGCAAGATCATCTTATGAAGGGAGTAAGGGAGTAGGACAGTTTGGTGACCTGAAGAAAAAAAATTGCAACAATCACTGTAGAAAGCAAAAGACATTGGGAAATGGTACTTTAATGACACAACTTTAAAGGTGGTATTTCTTCCAACTTAACTCTCAAGTCTTTGCACAATTTGGAATCCTCTTCTATGCTCATTCTTGTCAAATCAGTGTCTCGCCTTGGTAGATCATAAGAAATAAGTTAAAGAAATTTTGGATTTGGACACAAGGGCATGCCTCAGAAGGGTGTGTCAATAGAAGGGTGGATAGAAGCCAGATTGGAAAGCACCTAGGGGAGTGATTAATGGGAAAGAATAGACACATTTTCTTCCTAATATCTTTATCATTTGTATCTAATAATTTCTACTCCTCACTCAAATCTCCCATTTTCTGTAAAAACTTCCTTGATTAACTCAATCTGCTGTGGTTTACCTCCTTCCTTTCTGAAAACTGTATGGGACTTTTTTGTATTTATTTTATTTATTGTAGAAAAAGTGAAGTTATCAAATAGAATGACTTCTTTTTTTTTAAGAGGCAAAAAAAGAAAAGTTTATTTAAAAGTAATTTAGAGAAAGAGAAGGGAGAGAGAAGATTCACCTCCCCAAGGTGGGGGAGGGGGTCAAAGCCAGGAAGCTTGGCAACAGCCATAGCGCAAAGAGCACATGGCCACATCAGAGACCAGCAAGGAAGTGGCCTAGAATGGCTTCTTGATAGCCATTAAGCACCCAAATCTTATGCTTTAGGATAATAGCTTTTGAGCACCCAAATCTTATGCTTTAAGATAATAGCTTAATTGGACAGTGTCTGGGCTTGTGGTCTTCCCAGATCAATACGATATCAAACATGGTTGGCCCTTCATTGTATTCTTTTGACCAGCACTCAGTGATTGACCAACTTGTGGAGGTCCTTTATTAAGTGCCTGACATGTAGTGGTAGTGGTGGTAGTTAACATTTGTAAAGCTCTATGTTCCAGACAACTCATCATATAGCAGAAAACCAATAAATATTTGATAAATTCCTCACATTTTGTAATTCCTTGGAGTGGGATAGAGACCAGCACAGGGCAAGACCATCAGTCTGTGAACTCCAGGAAAGCCTGCTGGACCTAGGGTCATGGAAGGTGGATCATTTTTGTGGCACTTGTCCGAACCCTGCAGTATCCAATGTGTCCTGGTTAGCTGGATTGCATCATGCATAACCCTCTTGTGCTTATGAGAAGAAAAAGAGAATTCTGGCATTAAATTCAAATTGCCTTTCCACTTAGGGGAAATGGTTGGCAGAGGAGAAAATAAATTATTGCAACACTTATCAATGAGGACTAGTGAAAAAGAAGGAGATTAGGTAAGCACTGCTGCTTTATTCTGATGTTAATCATTCACTGGGTCCGTCAAAATTTTCTGCCCAGCCTTTTCCATCCAGCCCTTCCTGACTAAGCAAACACATGGCTGAAATTCAGGGACTTTTTGGTGGAGCAATTACTAGCCAACTTTGGGGAATCATGATAAACTCTGATCTGGGAGGAACTAGGTCTAGACACAGGCAGTTTTCTTCCTTGAGAAACTACCCAAGACATCATCATAGAGTCTTCTCCTTCTTCCTCAGCTATTGCAGGTCAGTAGACTACTAAGCACTTGTGGGTAACTTGGGGGAAGGGCTGGTGGCTTAGCCTTTCAAGGAGTGCAGAATTAGAAGGATAAGACAGATTAAAAACGAGGGACTTTCAGCCGAAATCCTTTCAGGAGTACTGCGTTAGAGGATTGTGTGACTTGACAAGTACTTTTAACCCTGTCTGAACCTCAATTTTTAAATTATAAATGGGAGAATAATAATGCATTTTAATAAGTGAAAGCAGAAAAGGTATAGGATGTTACTTTTGTTACTGTATCTAAAAGACAGGTATGTTGGCTGGTTGATCTTTCAGCAGCTCCACACATAGGGGAGTTGAGACAGGAGGTCAGT